GAAGTCACGAATATCATGTATCCCATGTACCTTTCCATTCCCCTGCGCATGTAACTACCTTTCATTTGTCACCTAACTTACATGTTTATCACTGAACATCTTTTTTCTTTTTGTCTTTTTTTCCTTTAGTTTCCCACATACTTAACGACTGTCAATGGTATCAAGAAGAGACGGAGAGAACGAGAACAAGCAAGTCAAGTCAAGAAAAGACGAGACAAGGGAAATGAAAGGCAGGGAAGACATGTTGGGCCAGGCGTTGGCTGAACAGGGGTGAGTGAGCGAGAGGCGATGAAATCCGTCGTCCTCATCACTGCTCCCCCACGTGTTTGTATACTAGACCATGAAGGACCATCCAAAAACTACCTAATGAGGAGGGATGAATATGACGGGCTGGACAAGGGAGGGCGTTGGAGGCTACACAGTGAGCATGTAAAAATGTCATTGATTGATCTTATTCATATTCCATTTTGTCTACAGTATGCCTCTGCAGCTGTGTGCCCGTTGAGATACCACTGCGACCACTGAAAATCGAGTTGAATCAAGAATCAATATCCAAACATCGGTCAGGCTCATGTGCATAGTCCCCTGTCGGCTGCAACACCAGCCCGCTCCTCAAGGCACCTCGTGACATGTCGAAGGAAGCCGTGAAGGGCTGAAACGGGACAGATTGTCGACGCAGGGCTGAAGGTTTCGTTTCGCGTGTTCCGTGCACGTGTTTGTATGTGGCTGTGGGCTCAGCGAGGGGCACCTGAGGGGGGGGATGCAAGGTCCCGGTGTGGAAGAGGCTTGATGCTCTGCTCTCATCGACATGCAAGAAAAGGCAAGAGAAGATGCAGGCGGGCTGGGCCAAGCATTGTCCTGGTCTTGTGCTTCTGGGCGAGTGGCAATCCCCATGACGACCCCGCTCATCGAGAGCAAACATTCAGAAGCGTGTGGTGGAACCCCCCTCACCCCCTCGCGTGTGATAATCTACAGCCTTGGGAAGAGAAAAAAGGCGAAAGGCTGGGAATCTCGGATCGAGGACATTGCCGGGGTTTGTTGGTCATCAGCGGACCTGCACTTTCGGCTACTGAACGAATGGAGAGGGCGTCAGGCTCCAGGGGACCACCGCTGTGGCTTGCATGGCGAGCTGAGTTGCTTTGTCCGTGATATATATCGGGGTTGGGATGTTGGTTGTGCTCTCGCAGATGGAGTTGCATTTGTTGGACGAGCCAAATTTAGTCGTCGATCGAGGGGGAACAAGGGGGACTAAAGTGTGACGCCTCAAAATCTATAGCACAGTACGGATGCCGTTCTATTGAAAGGCATGGCTGCGTCTCACGTAGTTTTTGATGCGGGCCATGGTGGCATCCTCGTCGCCGTCTCCCTCCAAGACCATGCCATCGTCATCATCATCGTAGTCCATGTTGTCAAACTCCTCGTCGTCAGATGCGTTCCCGTTGCGGTAGCCGTATGGGCGCCGTCCATACTCATCGTCTGACTCTACCTCGTCTTCGGGGTAATCAGCCGTGTAGTAGTTCTCGGCTACAAGTTTGCTCTGTTAGACTTTTAAAGACAATGGGGGGTGTCGTCTAGGAATAGCAACATACCATTTTCATCCTCGTCGTCCTCATCAAGCTCCTCATCTTCGTCGTTCTCAGGCCCAAAGAACAGGGTGTTATCCTCCTCTCCATCAAGAACCAAAACACCGACATCTGCTGGTGCGATGTTGACCATCATGGCATGTGCAGGGACACGAACGTATTCCTCAATAACCCAGTCATCATCATCCATATCACTCGCGTCGCTCATGGCTGTATCCATTTGGTTGGTCTCAGTGGTACTGGCCACGATTTCTGGATGGCGTTCAGCATAACTTTTTGTCGGAGTTTTTGGCTTGAACCTGTGCTGAACTGCCTTGCGCTTCTCGTTCTCCATCTGTTGGAGGTTTGCGCCGATTTCCTTCATAACCCAGTCGTTCATGTCGGCCGTGATCCTCGACATGTCCTGGTTGTGAGGGTTCATGGCGGAGGCTGGCAGAGGAGCCCGGGCGTTGGGGTCCGGCATGGGAGAGCGTTGTCTACTCCTCACTCCTGGTTTCTTCAAGCGCGGCTCCGTTGCCTTCTGATCTACTGCCACGGTCCCACTTTGCTGTTGCTGGTCGGGCGACGGCGTTGCAGATGCGCGCATTGCCTCGAGAGCTCGTGAAGCTCGCTGACTGGCCTTGACGCGACCTCGCTCAACGAACACGGCGGGTCCGTAACGCCCCTTTTTCTTCATGCCGGGGATGGAAGACTGGTTTGCGGTAGCCGTCATCATCATCTTCTTTGATATGTGGAAACGTCGTGGCTCGGCGAGTTTGGAGTCATCGGCGGGCGTCGGGTTCAAAGTAGAGGCGATGCTAGTAGGATCCGATGCCTTGACGGCGACCTTTGCCTTTGTCCCAGGAGCGTCACCGTCGGGGCCGGACACATGGATGACGGGCTTGACATCGTGGAAGGATCTCGTAGGGGCTTCGGTGGGAGACTGGGGATCGGCGTGTCGCCTTTGGTAGACCCAATTACTTCCAGTTCGATGGCGTTTCGCGCCCTCGTCAAACTCTGCTCAGAGTAAGATACCGCGATAGCAAAGGCACGGAGGAGGGGAAGACCATACGGAGGAAAGTGACGGGCGACTCGTCGTCGCGCTTCCGCTTGACGCGAATGAGTTGAGGCGGGATAGACATGGCTAGAAGCTGCGGGAGGACACGTTCGTGCGAGGTGACGGCTGTGCTGGAGCTGCGAAGTTCGCTGTGGCTCGTCGAAACGAAGCTATTGATTGATGGATGCCTGGCGACGCTCAAAGAGCAGACGGAAGGGACCGAGACCGAAGGAGAGAAGAAGAAATACACAATAGAATAGAGAGACCGAAGTTCTGAAGCAGACTGGAGCGATACTACAGCATGCGCTCAAGCGTGGGTTGCGATCGATGAGGTCAGAGTTTGGTTTGGCCTCCACCAAAAATCGCTGGAGGTGTTTTTTTCGTCCTGGATGAGTTGGGTCGCTGCATCCACTTTCCGGAGAGTGGGGCCTAAGGAGAGTCAAGCCGTCCGCAATGAAACGAGCGGTACGTACCTACTTGTCAGCTGTGAGTTCTGAGCTTCAATAGGATGACAACTAAAAGCACTCATAAGAATACCACATGAGAGCTGTATGAATCCGTCAACATAGGTAATATGGCTAATATCTGGGCTGTCGTTTCCTTGGTGACTGCAGGTGGCCTCTCATCGTCAACCACTTTAGAGCTGCTTCCGGCGTGGGGTCGGAGTGTCCGTTTTAGCGTCATTTCCATCTCTCATGAGTGGGGGCGCTGAGCATTAAGACGGAGACAAGGAAACTCATCATGATCAGCTGTAAATAGATTTCAGGAGAGGAAAAGAGCAAGATTTTGAACATATGTGGTGAGGTTGATGGATGATACAGAAGGTGGCCATGCCATTGGCTGTAATAGGGAGATGCCCGACTCGCGTCGTTATCAGACAAGGACAGCACTCTTTGGTGGATAAGGTAGGCAGTGGAGTACAGACGAGGTTTGGCGTAGAATCCTTTCCTTTGGAAGCCAATCAGATAGAGGCCGGTAATGAGCCTCAAATACCGGAAACGACGTACGAGGGCATGGTCATGATCATGATCATGACTGTCTCATTGTATGTTTGATACCAAACCACCGTAGACCTGGACTTGGCCGAAGAAAGAGGGCACCAAGGCGGTGATATCATAAGCTCTAGCTTGGAAGTGCGGGGGCGCACGGATCATGCTGGTTTCCCTTGGCCTCAAGACGGATGCCTTTACTCCAACATGGCTCTTTGCTACTTCAGACGACTTGCCTATACAATCAAGTGCTCAGAGTTATCAACGCGGTGGGCTACTACGCATAAGAACAAGTAGAGCTATTCAAGCCATTCCGCTGCCATGATATAATGCTTTATAATGTCTATGTGCTGGTACTATCAATGACACAGGCCAGCAACAAAAGCAAGGTGACTATTTGGGAATCTATCCACCCCATCATGCATTTGTCAGGCCGTGTAACCGGACTCGGACCGCCACACGGTTTCCGAAGTTTCCATGACCGAGAGAAAGCCCATCCGGCGTTTTCGACTTGAAATGATAAAAATGTCGGCCGCCGCTTTGGCCAAAGAAAGACGGTGTGTTGTGCTCGGAGAGGTCTTGACAAGAGTTGGCTGACGCCCAAAAAAGGGCGGTGGAGTGTAGATTCACATCTGCGAGATCTCTAACCTGCATTACACTTTCAACAGCATAACACGTCTAGGTACGTGGGTCATAATAATATGGGATATATGTTCACTTCCATGCCCATTTATGATAATCCATGACCACCTCCATCATCAATCCTCGAGTATGAATGCCCCTTGACAAACCCATTGGTCCATCATATCATGACTGGCCGAGATGGAGCTCGAGATGGTGGAATGCGGGGGCGCACAGACCACCTCCTGGCCCGCCTTGACCTCAAAATGATGCATTCTCTCTTCTCCCTTGGAAGCTGTCGGCTGGTAGCACTGTCTTTGGAGGCGCAAGACTTTGTATCGACGTCGCCTTGACAGCAGCAGACCGCCGCTCCAAAGGGTGCGGGGTTGGACACTGTACCTAGTCCAGTTGTAGATCTGAGTCAGGTTTGACTTCGTGCCTACCTCGTAGCTATCGACGCGTCACCCGTCGGCAACTGCCATGTGTTATCCGTCAAGGACCTTTCCTTGCTTCGTACAGTACAATACAGTACACGCCCAGAATATCCCAACCCGTCCAGTCCCTTCGCGCATCCCTGCCTACCTACCTCCAGTATCGTTCGATTCCAGCGCAAAACGACATCATCGCTAATGCCATTTCCTCCTTTAACCTATTTTTCGCTCCTGGAGCTCTGCTGCGACTCGATATTCACACTCCGAGATTGAGTTGTGCGACTACTCGCAACCTCTTCCGTGTCGCTCCCGCCATAGAGGAACCCCATCACACCCTACAATGTCCCCCAAGATCACCTCCACCATCACCTACAGAAAGCCTGGAACTGCACCTCCCATTTTCCTTGCTGGCTCATTCTCCGATCCACAATGGGAGCTCCAAGAGATGGAATTCACCACTGGTGAGGATGGAGAGCACACGTTCCGATCCAAGGTCACAGTCGAGGCGCACCAGGACTACCAGTTCAAGCTCCGCATAGGACATGGCGACTGGTGGGTTCTGGCCGAAAACTATCCCATCGGCGAGTTGCATCTGATCCATCGTGCAATTGGCTTGTCTGACGATCTGTGACTACAGTAACCGACGATTCCGGGAACCAGAACAACTTATTGAACGTCCCCGAGCCTTCCACCGAAGAGCAGCTCGCTCCCGCTGGCCTCAACACCCCGGCGATCAACGTGAAACATGACACGCAGCCGGCCCCGACCTCTCAGGCGGCTGACAATACCAAGGATGAACCCGATGATATAAAGATGCCCCTGTTTGCGCACGAATGCTTGGGCGCCTATGATTTCGGAGAGGGCGACTCAGACCACGAGGCTGTCCCGAGTGCTAGCAACAGCCCGGAGCAGCACTCGAAACACAAGCTCAAGAAGGATGACATTGCTGACATCGACATCAACGATCCCACGCTCGAGAAGTTTCCTTCAGACCGTGGCTCGATCTTAGATGCCCTCCGGACGATCCAAACCCACCTCGGTGAGGATCATACCCACCTTGACGACATCCCGTCCTCGCCTCGTGTGGTTTCTTCAAGAAGAACCAGCCTCGACTCGGCCGATGAATTGAGCCTGTCCCCTGCCCCACTGAGTCCCACAACTACTCGGAGGCGAGAAAGTAGATTGTCCCACAGCAGCTTCGGAAGGACTCGATCGGCAGTCTCCCTGGGTTCAATTGCCGAAGAACCCAAGCCTCAGGGTGACAAAAAGCCCCAGAGCCCCCCTGTCGTCTCGTTACCCGGTCTCAAAAATCCCAAGGGGACAGATGCTGGCTTCAAGTCACCTCCAAGCGAGGAAGATGAAGCTGTGGTGTTGAAAACCTCAGAGGTAAAGCCCAAAGAGAAGAATGAAAGCTTGCCAGTGTCTCAAGTTGAAAGTTATGAGGCCCAGAATGGTCACTCCGGCACGGGTTTGAGCATTGCCGCTGCGGGTGAGACGTCACCAGCTGCAAGTGCCCAGGATGCTGAAGGCCAAGCGGACAAATCTGTGGAAGACCAAACCCCCACAAGCTCAAAGACAACACTTGATCTCCCGTCTCAAGACGAGCCCATCGCCCCGGCTTCGGAAAGGAGAAAAGCTCCCAACGGGGCATCGCCGGCTGAAGAGCCGTCTCGAAGCTCCCGCGGGAGTGTACTACCCATGTGAGTCGAATGAAGCGTGGAGGGGAATTTGGCTGACTGATGAACAGGATCGTTACGACCGGGGCGCTCGCAGTCGCCATTGGAATAGGATGGTGGCAAACTTCTGATTAGTAGGCCAGCCATGCGGTTCAACCGTGATTGTCGAGCTCGCTTGGAGGTATAATATAGTTAAGGGGATAATGTGAAAGGGTCAAGGTTTGGTCTGGCCTTTGGCGGTGGGAATCAATGGGAATGGCGCAAACGAAGTTTCGGTAGGAGGGTCGGATCGAACGGACAACTCCCATAACCTAGGTATGCAACTTGCAAGGAGAATCGGAGCTACATTTCATTATTTTATTTTCAACTTATCTTGAATTTCTTTCCATCGTGAAGCCGTTCATTTTCTAAAGTTGACTGTTGAGTGCAGGATCCAATTGGGGTACGTACCTCGCCACTCATCGGCGAAAAAACTCCGATGACCGACCTTGTAAGAAAAAAACCTACCACCTACCCGCCTACCCACCTGAGTGTAGACGAGCAACAGACAAACATCAATTCTCGGTCACGATGCAGCGCGTGGCATCGAACTCAATTTGTTCGCTTTGCCTATTCACGGCACGCCCGGCTACCGCGATTCGAGCGCCATTGCAACCATGCTTAGCCCAGCGCTTTCTGTCACAACGCGCAAAGCCTCGCCCCTCTCGCATGGTTCTCTCTGACCGGGTTTACGAAGCACCTCGAGATGACCGACGAAGACGTCGAGACGCCCCGGGCCCCTTTGGTGGCATGAACCGGACTTATGCCAACGTCGATCCCGCTAGGAGGGCCGGATGGCAGCGTGCTTTGGATGCGAAAGGAGGCAAGGGAAGAGATAGGCAAAGAGATGGTGGACGAGGCTCGAGGGACAGGGACGGAGACGATCGAAAGGCGCTCAAGATGCAGCGCGCCCTAGCCACCGTTTCATATGGAAGGCGTACGATTTTGAAGGAAACAATGACCGAGTACGAGTCATTCGATAACTTCGACCTTATCCCCGTCCTCCAGGCGGCTGTCAACGACGAGCTCTTCAAGGGCATGACCGACATCAAGCCGACTCCCGTCCAAAGACTCGCAATCCCTGCCCTTCTGGGACAGAAGGGGCCACTGGATCCGAAGAGACCCTCGACCGAGATGAGGTCCTTTCTGCTCGCCGCTGAGACGGGCTCCGGAAAGACTCTTGCCTACCTTCTTCCAGCCATTGACGCTTTGAAGATGGCTGAAGCTGAGGACCCCGAGATCAAGGCCTATAGGGAGCGATGGGAGGCTGAGAAGGAGCGGCAATTGGCGAGCAAGTCAAAATACAAGGCCTTTGACGAGCCTCACCCCACCATGGCTCGTCCTAAGGTTGTTGTGCTTGTCCCTACGGCGGAGCTCGCACACCAGGTTACAAAGGTGTCCAAGTCGATATCTCATGTGGCTAAGTTTAAGACGGAGCTCTTGTCCTCTGATCTGAAGCCGCAGCAGATCCAGCGCAACCTCTACGGACCTAGGGGCGTTGATATCATCGTCTCAACTCCTCATCTTCTGGCATCCATTGCCGATTCGGATCCCAACATTCTGTCACGGGTAACTCATCTGATTGTCGATGAGGCAGACTCGCTCTTTGACCGAAGTTTCGCTCCTGTCACGACAAGCATCATTGAGCGGGCATCACCGTCCCTGAAGCAGTTTGTTTGCTGCTCAGCCACCATCCCTCGAAAGCTCAACAACTTCCTCGCTACCAACTACCCCAAGATGACTCGAATCACCACTCCCAATCTTCACGCCATCCCCCGACGTGTTCAACTTGGCGTCATTGATGTTTCAAAGGACCCCTACCGCAACAAGAAGGATCTCGCTTGTGCGGATGCCATCTACTCGATTGGTCGCGAATCTGCAGGCCACGAGGGTCCCGTCAAGGGCGAGGTTGACGTCCGCCGCATCATGGTGTTTGTCAACGAGCGTGAGAAGACGGAAGAGCTGGCTGCCTATCTCAAGGAGAAGGGTATCAATGCTGAAGCCCTCCACAGGGATACCCCTGAGAAACGCCACGGCGAAGTCCTTGAGACCTTCACGTCCCCCGAGCCCATGAGGATCCCCACTCCCCCCAGCCCATCTCGCCAACGATCCCTTGCCAACGTAAGGGTTCTTGTCGTTACAGATCTGGCTTCGAGAGGTATCGACACATTGGCCGTTCGACACGTTATTCTTTACGATGTCCCGCACACAACGATTGACTTTATCCACCGACTTGGTCGTGCCGGACGAATGGGACGACGAGGCCGTGGCATCGTACTCGTTGGCAACGATGATAGAAAGGATGTGGTTGCAGAGGTCAAGCACAGCATGTTCAAGGGACAGGCCCTAATTTAATGACATGAATCGGCCAGTCTTGTTATGAAATGTACGATAGGGAATGGAATCTTGTACGAACAGAGGCATGAAGAGAAAAGTCTATTTGGGTAGACCGGTCAGGGCTTATCACGATATCTCCATAGCATGTGTAACATATACCGTTTTCAGAAATGGGCTTATAAAAGAAGGATACAGGATGTTTCTTAGGAATGACATTATGTCGTGACAAGACGGATGAGTCCAAATGCAAGGTACGAAAATTGATGCGCGATCGGCTCCTTCTACGCCGATCTTGAGATTGAAGCTCCGGGACTTGGTCCAAGCGCCCGGTGTTTTTGTGGACCCACTCACGGAAGGTACGTACCAGCTCTTATCGCGTCGCGTCCCCTTTGGCGTGTTTCTCTCCCGCACACTCAATATCATCATCATTGCCGCACCTCCGCTTCCCCCAAAAGTGCAAACTTGAGTGTCTGGGACAGCTACAGGCTGGTCGCAGCTGCACTTCGATCACTTATCCCGGAAAGGCCTTGACGCACATATTCCACACCGAAGCAACACACAATCAAACAATGCCTCGCCCTAAACGAGCGCGTCGCGCGCCCGCACAATCTGTGAAAGCTACTGCACGATCTCCCACACCCGAGGCTGAAGCCCCGAGCGACAACGAACTTCCCCGCCAGGACAAGTCTCCCGAGAGAGGGCGAAGACGAACGACGCGAGCTTCTGGTGCCCGCCTTGGCGCGACTGACGAGCAGGCGGTTCTGGCTACGAGCCGACGTCGCGATGCGGCGCTCGACAGGCTGGCCAATGAGGACCCAACCTCTGCAAGCGGTAACAACGCTGCGGATGAAGACTCGGGCAGCTCAGTCGAGGGTGGACGACGAATTACGGCCACCCCCACGAACCGGAGGGACACGACGGGATTGGATCTGGCGGACAGCGTGTTTGGCGATCTCGATGATAGCTTCGATGACGACGGCGATGGCGAGCGAGGAGGAATGCGCTCAACCGACACATCATCACTGAACCTGAGCAACTTCAAGCGCAGACCGCGCCAATCCAGTATCATCGGCCGAAACGACCCGCCTATCAGACCAAGCAGTCGCGGTGGCAACACCCCCAGCATCAGCTCGACACTCCACTTTGGAGCCTTCAGACGACGCGCGCGAGAGCCAAGTATCCTGGGGACAGCGCGGAAGCCCCGACCAGAAGAGGCTGGAACGGGTCAGGAGCCTGATTCGGAGAGCGACGAGGAGGAGGAGTTTCTGCCCGAGGCCGAGTCGACGCCGCTCAACAACAGACGGAGGACGCAACCTGAATCTGAGCTCGAGGCTGAGCGTGAAGCTACTCCAGAGCCATCGACAGGGCCAAGGCGTAGAAAGCGCAAGAGCGAGGATGCGGTACCGAGCAGCGATAGGCCGGAGAAGATGTCGCGCGTCGATGTGGAGGAAGAGGAAGAGGACCACGAAGAGGAACAACAGGGGGAAGAAGCAAGAGCTGCAAGCGAGATCGACCTTGTTGATGACAGTGCAAGCGACTCTTCACTTTCTTCCCTCTCGTCACCACATGGCCCTTCACCCGTTCTCCCCGATCGACCTGTCACCCCAATCAACGACGAAGAGATCATGGCACCACCTGCCAGCAGCGACTCAGAAGAAGGAAACGACGTTTGGCCAGATATCCATACCTTGGCAAAGCGACGACGGAGACCATCCGTTGCCACACCACCTCGAGCCGACAACTTCTCGGACGTCTCTTCTCCACCGTCTCTGACACACTCACCCAACTACGCCGAGACACGGGCAACCAAGACCAGAGGCAGAGCCGCCGCTCGGAGACAACCTTCTCCTAAGCTCACAACCGCCGATCTCACCAACCTACTCCCGAAGCGACGGTACAAGAAGCAGCGGGACCCCATGGGGCTGGAGAGCGATGAAGAGTACGACACATCAGAGATGCCGCAGGGCGAGGATGAGCTCTCGTATGTGGATAGCCGGACGACTCGGAGAAGACAAGCCAGTCGACCAGGCTCACGGGGCGGACGCTCAGCGCAGGCTCCAAAGGGCAGGCAGGCAGCCTCTAACAAGTCCAAGGGGCGAAATCAGCAGACCTACTCCCGGCGCTCGTCAGATAAGGAGAACGAGGGCGAGGAGCAAGGCAGTGACAACGATGAGCACGACCGAAGCCAGTTCCAACCGCTCCCTGATGACACATTCGATGGTGATGGAAGCGGCGAGAGCTCAAACATGCCATCTGCAGATGAGCTCAGACAGGCAGTCAAGAAGTTCAGGGAAGTAGACAGGTGGGAGCTTGACTATGAGGAGGTTACGCAGAGCTCGTCACCTCCGGGTGCACGATGAGGCACGAGCAAACAAATGGAGGGGAAAGAAACCGCTGTGGTCCCTGATGGACTCCAGCATGCCCAGAGGGATGTTGACAGAGCAGTTTGCTTGATATTTTCTGTCCAAAGTGGCACATCTTTTTTGCCAACTGTCTAGTTGCCATCCAGGAGCGGTTGTATCCGAGCCAAGCACACCCTTGTGCGAGGTTTTGATTCATGAGACCAGAGGAGTCGATGTCTCGTTGATCCCTGAACGGCGCTATGAAGAAGACTTGTTTGCGGCATCGTCGAAGTTTCTCTTGGTGGTAGCAGGCTCTGGGAGGGCGTTAGGGGTTTGGAGCGGTTCGTGTTAGCGAAGTAAAACATGTGGAGTTACGCAGGGTATTGGTCTTGTCTTTTTTTCTTCTTCATGAAGGGTCTGAAATGATGGTCGTTTATGGCATGTATCACGTTTCTTCGGGATCAGGGGGGGTTTGCCTGGGTGTGTGGACGAACAAGGCCAAACCAAGTGTTATGGCCGGCTGCGTTTAAAGAAGCAAAATGCTGCTGGCTTTATTGAAATCCAAAACAAATTCATATTTTATCATGTCAGATCATCCGCTGCCAGCTGATGCCGTGACTGAAGCAACTAACCCCCAACGCCTCAAACACCATGATCGAAGCACAGAGATACTTGAATATCATCTCATGTGCTGAACTTGACAGCCTCTGTCCGCTGCTCTACTAGAGGTAGTAGTGGTGCCAAAACGTTGGGATCGCGCAGGGCAATGGTAATATCGTCGGGCAATCTGCCAGACATAAAGAGTTTCTATAGATTAACGGTTAGCAGCTCTAAACTTCCCTAACAGTCACAAGTGGCTGCTCAGATACACTCACCCTCTTGACATTCGCAAAGCTCTCCTCTTGAGAAGAGTACTCGCGAAGGACAGTATCAGTCTCAAAGTCGACATAGATGCGGGTGTCGCGTATCCGCAAGATGACATTGTCCAGGCGCATAAACAGCCGACACAGCAGAAGCATGCGCTTCTCGTGCACGCGCACCTTGACGCTAAAGATAGAGATGCCATTGTCGTCGAGCTCACTCTCGTATAGCATGACCTCGTCAAAGAAGATCATGGGGTCCCGTCGCTTGAGTAGTTCAATGGGGATAGCCTGGTCCGTGGGCGTAAACTGCTGGGTTCCTGGGGCCAGCGTGCCGGTGTACGTCGTCGAGTAGCTCCAGTCATAAGGCTTGACAACCTCCTTGATCCCCTGCGTTGTCCCCTCCCTTGTGCTCTCCCAATCCCGGGCGTAGGCGACCTTGAGCATGTGTTTATCCGTCTTGTCAACGGCGTCGAGGGCGTCGGGGGTGTTGAAGCTGACGGACCAGCCCGAGGGCACGTGCTCGAGGGAGACGAGGTTCTCGCCAAAGATCATCTCGGGCATGGGGATGCCGATCTTGTCGGTGAGGGAGTCTATCACGCCGGCCTTTGAGATGGGGAGCTTGCGTGTCGAGATGCGGAATCGGCCCTGGCTGTGGGTGCTGGTGGCCGCGGCGAGAGCCTCGGGTGTCGGGTAGGGTTCGTTGATGTCGGTGATGTGATTCATGTTGGGCGAGCGGTTACGGAGCGGTAGCGGCTGAAAGATGGAGGATGAGATGTGCCGCAGATGGAGACGAGGTGCTTGTTTCAAGATGAAGCTTTACAGTTCAAGGTACCTCCAGGTTTAGAAGGGTCTGGTGGTGGGGTTTGGTGGGGGAGCTCTCGCAGGTACCTTGGTCCCCGCTCTACCTATGGTACCCAGGTACCTGTCTTATCAATCTATCAATCTCTCATTGGCGTTGGGCGTCTTCAAGTATCTCTATGAGGTTCTTAGGGAGAAAACTAGGCCCTCAAATAGAGGCAGTCTCAAGTAGATCAATCAATAGCATATGTGGGACTGAATCCTAGCTACTCAGAAATTGCACAATGTCACAAGTGGTTGCCCGACAGCCGTAAGATGTGCTCGAAAGGATCCCAGCCCTAAGAAAGAGAGGATTTGAGCGTCCAGAATGACTTTCAATTTCCCCTAGACGGATCGTCCAGCATATAGTGTGGGAAGGAGTGATATCCATGTTGCTGGCTCCCCCCCACTCGTCGTGATGGCTTTAGGTATCGTTCATCCAACCTCGGAGCATCATCAATATGAATTCATTGCCACTCAGCTCAAGATGAAAGACTCCCTTATGAAATCATTGATATTAGCCTTGGCCACCTAAATATGTTTAATCTCTGAATTTTATTTCTTAGGACGTTCTTTGTGTGTTCATGACTACAACAGTTGGATGTGAGGCATACAATCAGTACCTGCCCAGTGAATAGATAAAGGCTCAATTTTGGGCCCTCTAAGGTGCAACCTTGCGTTGACAATTCCACCTAAATTCTCTCTAAGCGGTGATTGCTTGGGGGCGGTTATTTGGGTTAGGTGTCTACCTCGGTGATTGGGTGATTCTAACACAGAGTGTTAGCTGGATGTTGCCATGGTGTCTAATCGTCAACATGATGTTTGCCAAGTATCATAAAGCCATAGCGTTAAACAGTATTCTCTATCTTGTAGATGAGATGTTCTATAGTATCTGGATAACGAGTATAACAGAGTGCTTTTATTGTATGAATGCCCTCTTTTGACATGACCTTTTGTCGTAATCCGCTGTCAGTCACGGGCATACGTTGTGAGATAATCGCACTGTTGCAATGGAAGTAGATGTTTCATCAGATTACCCAGTCAGTCCCAAGGAGGTACACGGTCACATGGATGAGGGTATCCGCGATAATGATGATCATGACAGACTTGCAGGGATTTGAAGTGAGAGGACACATGTTCAAGCCCTGGGAAGTGAGAATGTATAAAAAACAAGTGAAATAAATTATCAGATTTTTTTTTCGGTAAATGTGAAAGCCAAAGAAATGTCGTGGATCGAGTTCATTCCGAGCGCTGCAAGGTCAGCTCTTCACAAGACACCATCGGCGGAGCCACAGGGGGATGTACGCTTGATGAGTCCATTGAGGAAGACGGTATAAGACATAGAAGTCCTGAGCCTAGTATTATAGCATAAATATAGGATAAAAGAGTTTCCCCTCAGTCTGTGAGGGTGTTACGGGTATGTTGTTACACCAGTCTTGTAAGTGAACAGCAAATCGCCTTCTGGTCGGCCATCCATGGTGAAGATGAAGAGTTTCCGTATAGTCATTTCAATGCTAAAATGGGTAAAAGAACATGAATATGGAACCTAATTAGCGAGAAAACTTTGGAAAACAAGCCTCTCAACTTTGGTTCGACTCTCAAGTGATGATGGATGTCCAAAGTGGAACAGCAAGATGCAGTACGGCGAGTACGTACCCACCCCGGCCCCCCACATTTCGCGATAAGCTCCTTATCAGTTCTCCCAGAGGAACTTTTTTTCTAAGCTTCAACACCAAGAATCCAACATCACCAACTCACCACCTTTACCACACATTCAGCAACAGACACCATGCGGCCCCTCACGGAAAAGGAGACCCAGACTCTCTTTGAGAAGCTGGCAAACTACACCGGCAGCTCGCTCAAGAACCTCATCGCGCCGCTCGACGACTCTCCCAACGCCGACCGCTACGTCTTCCGCCTCGTTCGCGATCGTGTCTTTTATGTGCGCCTATCCATCGCCAACTTGGCCACCTCGATCGCTCGTGACAAGCTTCTGTCCCTTGGAACCTGTCTTGGTATGTAATCTCAGTCTGCATATGTTGCACCAATGGCTAACGCCCTGATCCTTTAGGCAAGTTTACCAAGTCGGGCAAGTTTCGCCTGCACGTCACGGCCCTCCCCATCATCGCCGAACACGCCCGTTACAAGATCTGGGTCAAGGAGAATGGAACGATGCCATTCCTCTACGGCAGCAACGTGGTTAAGGCCCACGTCGGTCGCTGGTCCGAGGACTGCCCCGAGCACCAGGGCGTTGTCGTCTACAGCATGAACGACACGCCTCTCGGCTTTGGTGTCACGGCGCGCAGCACAGCTGAGGCTCGAAGGCTAGACCCCACGGGTATTACCTGCTTTAGACAGGCCGACTGCGGCGAGTACCTCCGAGACGAAGACAACTTGTTCGCGACGGGTTAAGCCTGGAGCTGTCGACGTGAGTACTTTGCTGGCGTTGGGGCTCTTTAATTCATCCTTCGTTCTTTGGCGTTGTGGGGGGAAAATTTGCACCGAGCACATCAATGCTCGGGTGATTGATTACATAGACGGCTAGATATCATCAGAAAGCGCTCTATATGCTCAAATCTATTCGCTTGCACCGTTTTTTGACATTCCAACATGGTTCCTACTCCATCACAGCCCGGTTGATTTCTCGAGATGGGCTCACGGGTCTGCTGTCTCTTCTAAAGAAGCCAACATGTTGCCGGTGGGCGACATACTCGCTGTCAGCGTAACCCAGGATCTTTTGAATCTCGACGCTCTGATGCCCCTTGATACGTCCGATCTCGGCGGCGGCATAGTTCACCAGGGCTCTTCCAACCTCTTCTGGGATGCCATCCCAGAGCTTGCCGTCAGGGCCAAGGGTAGTCCGACGCTTGACCACCACGAGCCGCACAACCTCTTGCTGAGCAAAGTTGCCTTCCACGTCAACAACACCAACAGGAAGCAGGCCGGCCTTGCCGAGGAGTGCCTTGTAGGCTCCCGAGTCGATATAGAGGGTTCCGTGGGGATATGGAGTGTGGAGTAGCCAGAAATGGCGATCTCGGATGGGATCATCCGCTGGTACGAATCGAGTATGCAGGGGAGGGCTGGTGAGATCCGCTGAAGAGGAGAGGGATAGGGCCGAAGCTGAGCGTGTCAAGTGACTGGTTCCTTCGTCGGCGCTTGGAGACGAGTGTCCTTTTTGCTGTGGTTGAAGATATCGGACAATATTCAGTACATTTCCTGGGTTTGAGGATCGGGTGATGATGGTTGTGACACCAGCCGAGGTTCCCAATCTGGCGGCAATGATTTTGGTGCTCATTCCACCTGTGCCTAGGGCTGAGCCGGCACTCGATACTGATTGATCTTGGTCAGCTTTATATGTAACAAATTCATGAGAATGAATACGTACCATCGGCCTGAAGAGCTGAGATGTCTTCGACCACCTCGATCGGCTTGGCGTCTGGGTTTGTTCGCGGATTCTTGTCATAGAGACAGTCGACATCCGTCATCAAGAATAGCATGTCGGCGTGAATCATGGCAGCGGTGATGGCAGAGAGGGTATCATTGTCGCCAAACTTGATTTCTGAGACGGCCAAGGTGTCGTTTTCGTTGACAATTGGGATCACTCCTTGTTCAAGAAGGGCATTGAAGGTGTTTTGAGCATTAAAGTATCTTGTTCGCTAGAGCATAATTCATTAGTTTGTAGAATGGATCTCAAGTAAAATGAACCTACATCTGCAATATCGTTCCTTGTGAGCAGGATCTGGGCAATTGGCTGTCTCAGGTGGGTGAACAGGCTATCCCAGAGACTCATCAAACGACATTGGCCAATGGCTGCGAGGGCCTTTACCGGGTTAGCACTTCAGTTTTCACACTCAAAAGTTGTGCAACAGTGATCCCACCTGCAGCTGTGCGAGATGCTTGGGGCGCTTCTCGACATCCATGCGTCGGAGACCAACGCCGATGGCGCCCGACGAAACAATGACGACCCGGTGGCCATCTTTGCGAAGCTTGACGGCCGTGTCGACAATCAACGTCAAGATTGGGAGAAGCGGCTCATGAGTCTTTTCGTCGACAATTGAGCTTGTTCCTAGAGAACCAGTGTTAGTGGGGGATGACTCAAAGCTTCCTTCTCGACGTACCAAGCTTGATGACGATGGTGAGGGACTTTCCGTTTCCTCTCATGGCTGCAAATAAAAGGAGAAGAGGTCAGTTAATGCCTCTTTCGTCTTGGCCTTGTGAATTTCAGGGATTGGTGCGGTGCTTGGTGTTTTCACATGGGAATGTCCTGGCGTGTATATATACCACAAGTATTGTAATAGAAGCCTCAGCCGGACACTACCCGCGAGATAGACAGGAAGAAGATGAATGAAGCAAGAAGAAGGAAGACAAGAAAAAGGCTTACATTGAGCAGTGATTTCACTCGTCATTTTGGCACGCCCTTGTCGCTTTGGATGTGGAACCGCAGGTGTCTCTCTGTCATGAGTTGGGCGCAACTTGGGAGAATCCTGGGCAAACGTTGGTGGGTGGTCGAGTTGATTGGACTGTGCTCGACAAGCCCATGAATCCCCAGACCCGATGTCGGAAAAATGGGTCGAGGGAGTTCGGAGAATTGGTCCAATCAGTTTCCCTCATGAGGCTCACCGCCCTCGGCGTGCCACCGACGGTTTTCCGGCGGCAGAATTTCCATCATGCTAGGGCGTTGCTGGAAGGTAAAGAGAGATCAATTCGAGACATTACGACCGTAATTCATCAGCCTTGCCGACCCCAAACAAGGCTGTCCGTGTTCAATCCAGCTGATCAACCTAATTGATCCGTGTCCAATCCATCCTCATCATGTCATCCGAACCTCCGGCTTCATCTTCAAGCACCCCGGCAGCTGCGCCGAGCTCCTCTACAGCAGCTCCCAAGGAAGTCTTCAACAACCCTGCGCGGACCGGCTTTGATCCAGAGACGGCATGGTGGATGAACTACTTCAAGATCCTCTCCGGTCAGATGACCCCCGAGGGTCAATTCCACTACCGTGAGTGGCGATACCGCGTCCACGAGGAGCGTGACTGCAAGCGCTGCGAGGACTACCGGGACTGGCTCTTCACTTACTCCCCCGTCGTCCGCTTCATGTCCGAGAAGATCCAGGCCCTCAATGGACGGCTAGACCCTTCCAACGTCGTCTGTCGTCGGTGCCCCGCCCATCTTGAGGAGGACGGACAGGTCCATCGTCAGTCTGGTGGCTTCAGCCCAAACCATGGCATCTTGCTCTGCGCAAACGAAGTACGAGACCGAAAACACTTGGAGGACACGCTCGCGCACGAGATGGTGCACGCTTGGGATCATCTGCGGTGGAAGGTGGACTGGACTGGCGACAAGGACTTGAAGCATGCCGCCTGCACAGAGGTGGGTGAGATGGAGCAGCTGCTTGACCACAATGCTAACCGATACACCAGATCCGGGCATCCATGCTCAGCGGCGAATGCAGATGGACACGAGAGTCCTTTACCCGAGGAAACTGGAAGTTGACACAGCAGTTCCAGAACTGCGTGCGCACAAGAGCCATCCAGTCCGTCATGGCCAGGCCCCGTTGCAAAGACGACGTCCAAGCAACAAAGGTGGTCAACCAAGTCTGGGACTCTTGTTTCTCAGACACACGGCCATTTGACGAGGTGTACAGGTGATTGATTGATCAGCCAACGACTGCTACGATAAAAAGGACTTGTACAATACATCAAAGACATGGGCAGGGACTAACGAAACAATGTCTAATATGCTCTCTACTTTTACATCAATATTATCAGCGATACCCTATCAACCAAAGAGTCTTACCATTGGTGCTCTTGTTTGACTCCCAAGTTACTTAGTGACCTTGCTCTTGATCTTCTCATAGACAACCCGGTTGTATGCGCTTGGACTGCTCTAGCTGCCCTTTTCCTAAGGATACTCTCATTACCTATCATCAAGACTTACCTTGAGAGTATGCATACTGGGTATAATCATAGCATCCTAAAAGATGAGATGATATTTGCCGCATCATTTAGTGGATCTGGCTAAAGTAAAGGGATATAAGACTTTGACATATCTTTTAGATTCGTCAAATGGTCACCAATGATGACATTCCACAGTAAAACGCTAACAATACAGTACTCCAGCAAACGCAGACGGCCAGGTTCCGTCCCAGGTCACCATAGATCAAAGATTAAATCACCAAAACGCCCCCTTCCAAGTAACCCAAACCAGGTCCCAACCCATGCTTTCAAACAACTCATATGCTTCCCAGGCATCGGAAAAGATGGCCATCCAATAGACGCCGTCCTCGGCAAAACGACAAGCACAGATGCAAGGTCCCATCTTAACGTGTGAAGACGTTCATCACATCATTATGATCAAACCCCAAAGAGTCATCCTAAGCTTCTCCCTAACGCATACCTAAGTCTAGGCAAGAGATTTCTGTGCCTTTTCGCGGTTGGAGGCCCGCTCTCCCTTGACACAGTGCTTGATGATCCAGGGGTGCTCCATGACCTGCTCGAGAGAGATTCGCTTCTCAGGGTCCAACACAAGCAACTTGATTGAGGTCAGCATATTATCCGGGTTACATGTAGATAGAAGAGCATGCTTACCCTCTTGATGAGGTCCGTAGCCTCAGGGCTCACCCATTTAGGAATCGTCATATCAGCCCTTTCGATCCTCCGCTGCGTCATGATCGGGGTATCCTCAAAGGGCGCCTCGCCGACGAGAAACTCGTACGCCAAAACACCCATGCTCCACAGGTCAACCTTTTCGTTGTAGTAGTTGTCGGATGTGCCGGGCTTGATCATCTCTGGGGGGAGGTAATCGAGAGTTCCACACATGGTCTTTCTCCGGTTGTTAGGAGCATGAACACTCCAACCAAAGTCCGACATCTTGATTTCGCCATGGTAGCCGAGCAGGATATTCTCGGGCTTGATGTCTCGGTGGATGACATGCTTGCGATGAAGGTATTGCAAGGCTGAGGTGACCTGAGCAATGTACTGGGCCGCCTTCCACTCGGGGAATCGGTTCTCTCGTCGAAGGTGCTTGTACAGCTCGCCCTTGCCAGCAAACTCGAGGATGAGAATGACTCGCTTGCTATCATGGAAATAGTTGTACATCTGGAGAATGTTTGGGTGTCGCAGGTTGCTTTGGATCTCGATCTCTCTTCGGACCTGCTTCTCGACTCGGTGCTGGATCAACTCATTCTTGTAAAGGACCTTGAGGGCGCAGATGAAACCCGAGGCCCTCTCCCTCGCTAGATAGACTCGTCCAAACTTGCCCTTGCCGAGGGCGCGGCCGATCTCAAACATGCCCAGATGGAGTTGCTTGGGGATAGAGGGCTCGGGGAGGGCAGCAACCGAGTCTCGTTGTTCTTCAGCCTCTTCTGATGTCCGTGACGAGGAAGGAAGGGCCTTCCGGGGAGGTGATGAGGGAGCGTTGGCATTTCCGCTGTGAGACTGGAGGGCAACCTTGAAGAGGTTGGGTCGGCTGCTAGATGAAGTCGTTGTGACCACGGCCTGCCAATCCAATGTCAGCTACTAAACATCAGCACAACAGGATTCGGACATACCTTGGACTTGGAATACGACTTGGAGCTTTCACCGTCATTCTCATCATTGACCGTCATGCGCTCAAAAGTCGCCTCAAGAGTACGGGCAGCCATGGCGAACAAGGGAAGCTGAGCTGTCTGGGGGTTAGTAACGGAGTGAGAGGGAACAGCAAAAGATGGATCGACGCGATTAGAGTGTGAAGCTCGATCACCGGACATGGACTGTCTTTTTATGAACCCGGGCCGTCACCTGCAGGCCTAGTTTAACAACAGAGCGTTGTCGAAGCAACGGATTGTGGGGAAGCTTGGGCCAATTGCAGCTGACCATCCACCATCCACATGCGGGTTAAAAATAAGAATCATCTAACTTATCCTAAGGATGAGAAGTTAATTAATATAATTATACTAAATGTTTTTTTAAAGATTATGTTAATAAAATATAAATTTTAGATATCTCTCTTATTATTCTTACAATGCCTTCTTGATTGTCCTCAGAGCATGCTAAGCTGATAATCTCTTGTTTTAGCAGGCTGTTAGCTCCCACTGTAGCTGGGGTATAGGACTCAAAGTTGAGAGCCGCCAACCAGCGACAAACGCCTCAGCCCAATTGGCGCAATGGTTAGCGCATTCGACTGTATGTTTTCTTCGGTTACTTCAGATATGCTCACTCAAACTAACAATTCCCAGTCTATCTTGACTCCTCCACAAGGATGGTTGTCTGAGGTGATCGAAAGGTTGCGAGTTCGAGTCTCGCATTGGGTTTCTTTTTTTGGTGACATTTTTGCCTCATCAACCAGTGTTATATGGATTTGCTGTATCACAGTCATCTTGTCTCCTCTTGTCATTCATTGGGTAGTCTGCTTCCGAGAAATTTGCGTTGCTTGGCAATATCTCGCTGACAATGACTAATGTCAAGGCCATCAGGAACAAGCTTTGCAAACGGCAAGTGGCTCCGGTCGGAGGCCAATGAATCGGGAAGGCGCAAAAAAAAGTCAGTCACGTCTAGGTCTCACTTGTACAGCTGCAAAGAGAACGGCAAAATCTACACCGTAGGGCTTCAAACCACCGAAATCACCGAATCAGCGCTCGGCACCCCCCAGAGAAACTCACACAACGCCTCCTTGCTTCCCCCACCGTCCACCGACGTCCACCGCTGTCCATCCCTCCCCAAACAGTCGGGCCCAAGAGTCAGTGACTGACTTGCCTACCTGTAGCACTTACCTAGACAAAAAGAGGACCCCAGGGGAACCAGTGCGGCTTGAGCTTGTGACTCACGCCTCCCTCCTCTATCCTCTTACGACTTTGTAAACTTCGAGTGGATGAAGCCAATTCGTCTCTTCTCGCTCTCTCCAACCTCACCCTCGACAACATCCTTTTCTGCAGCGCCGCCCTTGACGAGGCAGCTCAGTTACTCAAGCTTTGGTCCCAGGTTCCGTTTCGCGGCCTGCGCAAGACCACCACCCCGCACCGTCGCTCCCCGCCGCACCTTTGCGACCTCACGACCCCTCAACGCTTTTCAGATTCAAAAGTCGCAGAAGCGCAAACCAGTCACCATGACCTCCACCGCTACTACCCTCAAGGGCCAGCCCCTTGACAAGGCCGTCCTCGAGTCCATTCTCCGACGTCGCATGTTCTATACCCCCTCCTTCGAGATCTACGGCGGCGTTGGTGGTCTATACGACTATGGCCCTCCTGGCTGCTCCCTTCAGGCCAACGTCATCGACGCCTGGCGCAAGCACTTCATCCTCGAGGAGGATATGCTCGAGGTTGACTGCACTGTCTTGACCCCTCACGAGGTCCTCAAGACCAGTGGTCACGTCGACAAGTTCGCCGATTGGATGTGCAAGGACCCCAAGAACGGCGAGATTCTCCGAGCCGACCACTTTGTCGAGGCTATTCTCGAGGCTCGACTGAACGGCGACAAGGAGGCCCGTGGCCAGAAGGTGGAGGACAAGGAGGAGGACCCCAAGAAGAAGAAGAAGAAGGCCAAGACGGAGGCTGTCAAGCTCGACGATGCCGTCGTCCAGGAGTATCAGGAGGTCCTGGCCAGAATCGACAACTATGGTGGCCCTGAGCTTGGCGAGCTTATCAAGAAGTACGACCTCAAGAATCCCGCTACCGGCCTCCAGCCCTCGGAGCCCGTCTCCTTCAACCTCATGTTCCAGACCACGATTGGTCCCAGCAGCAACTACCCCGGCTATCTTCGACCCGAGACAGCCCAGGGCCAGTTCCTCAACTTTGCCAAGCTCCTCGAGTTCAACCAGTCCCAGATGCCTTTCGCCTCCGCCTCTATCGGCAAGTCTTACCGAAACGAGATCTCTCCTCGAGCCGGTCTACTGCGAGTCCGTGAGTTCCTCATGGCTGAGATCGAGCACTTTGTCGATCCCCAGGGTGGTAAGAAGCATAGCCGCTTCCACGAGGTTGAGGACATTGAGCTTGTCCTCCTCGACCGCGACACTCAGCTGTCTGGCAAGACTGAGACCAAGACCGTCAAGGTTGGCCAGGCTGTCAAGGATGGTCTGGTTGACAACGAGACTCTGGGCTACTTCCTCGCCCGCATTCACCTTTTCATGCAGAAGATTGGTGTCGATCTGAGCAAGATGCGTTTCCGTCAGCACATGGCCAACGAGATGGCCCACTACGCCTGTGATTGTTGGGACTGTGAGCTGTTCACCACCTCTGGCTGGATCGAGTGTGTTGGCTGCGCCGACCGAAGTGCTTATGACTTGAGCGTCCACGCCAAGAAGACTGGTGCCCCCTTGGTGGTGCGCGAGCGACGCGAGGAGCCCCTCGTCATTGAGGAGTGGCAGATCGAGATTGAGAAGAAGAAGTTTGGCCCTCTCTTCAAGAAGGATGCCAAGACTGTCGAGGCAGCTCTTAACGCCACCTCCCAGGAGCAGCGCGAGCAACTTGCCAAGGAACTGAGCGAGACTGGCAGCATCTCTATCGAGGTTGCCGGTGTCGGCGACGGCAAGGCTAAGATTGGCAAGGAGTCGATCGCTATCGAGTTCCGCAAGAGGGTCGAGAACACCCGCGAGTTCGTCCCCAACGTCATTGAGCCCTCATTTGGTATTGGCCGTATCCTCTACTCCCTGATGGAGCACAGCTTCTGGACCCGCGCCAGCGATGGCGGTGACGAAGCCCGTGGTGTAAGCAGCCCTCACATAGTTGATGATTCGTAAAGTTGCTAACAGCTACAAGGTCCTGTCCTTCCCTCCCACCGTGGCCCCTACCAAGGTGCTGCTGGTTCCTCTCTCCTCCAACCCCCAGTTCAAGCCGCTCCTCAAGCAGCTTTCTCAGCGTCTGCGCACCGCTGGTATCTCGAGCCGTGTCGACGACTCTTCTGCCAGTATTGGCAAGCGCTACAGCCGAAACGACGAGCTCGGTACTCCTCTGGGCATCACCATCGACTTCCAAACCGTGCAGGACGGCACCGTCACTCTCCGAGATCGTGACAGCACCAGCCAGGTCAGAGCTGACCAGGAGAAGATTATCGACGCCATCAGGTCGCTCGTTGAGGGCGAAAAGAGCTGGTCTCAGATTGAGTCGGAGCTCCCCAAGTTTGAGGGTCAGGAGGTGGAGGTTGCTGCTCGATAAAGTAGAGCTGGCATAGAGCTGGCATAGAGAGAAATGTAAAATATAGATATCATACCGGCGTGGCTGTCTTGGCCAAAAGACGGTGGCCAAGCCAGGAGTTGGGATCTGTCAGGTGTAATGTACCTAGACACTACATAAAAAGGCCTGTCTGGTAGTCAAAAGAGACTGTCTTGTTTACTCGGCGTCATGATTGTTTCTCCGAAGGTATGAAATGTTATCCGCCACTCATGGTACATAGTATGCTGACTGCAATCTGTGTCTGACACATGCTCCGTCGTCGGCTCTTGATGCTACCGGGGACGTAGTACTTGGCCAGATTCTCCTGAAATCCGGTAGGCAGGGATCCAGGCCTTCATGAGTGTCAAGGATTCCGGGATCTGCGGCCCATGCATGCAGCAGAGACGCAAAAACAACAACCAGCGAGCGGGAGGGCCAGGGGTTGGCCGGGGCCAAGTCAGGGAGGGAGGAAATCCATACCATGAGAGGGTCAGAGTAAGCCACGAGCACCAGCAACCAACGACGTTGATGATGTGCACATCTGTCTCGGGTTCTGATCGGTTTGGCATCTTTCTTGGTGGACATTGGCTGAGACCTCTCCCTTCTCTATCAGAATTGGCAGGCAAAAGGAGCCGGGTCATGGCCCAGCAACGTGCGAGATACCTGAGATTGAGATTGGGTTGCAATAGTGGGCTTTGGTGGTTGGGAAGAGTTGATATCCCCGTCGGCCACCTGGCGAGCCGAGCAGGGCCTCGCGGGAAGGGGTCTCTGCCGCGGGAAAGTCCAATCTTGTTCATTAGCTAGTTATTACGGAGTGCCTTGGTGTAAATGGGATTCGCTGCCATGTTGAGAGAGCCAATCGCAACGTGGCCGTCACCGTCTTCGGCGCCGATCCTAGCACGCTTCAAAGGGGACTAAGAGCGAGCCTTGGCGCCAGGTTGTCTAGTATGGATAGGTCTAGTCGGTCCTCACTGTCGCGTCATGCCGTTTTCTCGTGGGCGGGCTGCGGCGACGATGTTTCGCCATGCGTAGCTGGAACTCTGTCTTTGGGTCTCGTGGCAGTCAGTGGCAGTTTCGGCGCATCAGCCTCGATCCTCGGTCGGGAACCGGCGCTATGATACGTATTGTACGTACACGGCATCCATAGCATGGACGTGTTGATAGTTGCTGATGTTATATGGAAGAACCCACAGCGTATCCATGGAACTCTGTGCCGGCTTCTACGACCCGGAATTAGTACCACGCCTGGTGGAAGAGGATGCATCCTTGGACGGGAATCCAAGGGTAATCAATTCCTAGGTCTCGCAAAGACGGAGAGTCTCAGGGATCGAGACGGGTCGAGGAATGGTGGTGGACGACATGGTGTAACTAGCTGGGCGCCTCAGAGCGCAGCCGGGCTGGACCGCTGGACGATCTTAGCACACGAGGCTCTGAAAGCCTTTTGGGCCTAGCAGATGCTTGAATCGTAACAGCAAGAGGCGTTTCGGGGGCGACAAAGGTGGGCTGGTGTTTGATGATCTGAAATGCGAATCCAACTTGGCCCAAGAAGATGGGAAGAAAGGTTGAGGTTCTGTAGATGTCTTTAAGGAGGTCCAGGTTGAGTGATGAGGAGCAGCTCAGACCTTTGCGTACCTGCCTTCCACTCCCCCAGGTTGGAAGGCTTGACTGACATCCATGACTCCACACTCATCAGGGAAGCGGGGCATCATTTTGTCATGAAAGAAGCACGTAGCAACGTTCATGGAGCGTTTGCTTCCGTGCCTTGCATATATCGTTGCAGCTTAATGAATTGCAGAAGCGATTATTGCCATCGCTGCTTCTGTTACTGTGTCGAGTCAAGTCCCCGTCTTCAAAGGAGACGGGAGCCCCTCCATCGTCTACCTTACCTCCATCCATATCCTTGCATTCAATCCTAGCGCACCGATGGGGGGGTAACTCCACTATAATCTTAGGTGCCTTACCTGAAAGACAGGCGTTAGCGACCCGGGAAGCCGCTGACCGGGCCTAATGGCACATGGAAACAGCCCAGCTGGCCGCCCGTCGACACCTGCCTGACACCTAGTGAGGGACTAAGAGTAAGAGCCTGGGTACCTCTACCCAAGCATGGAGGCAAGCAAGCACTGGCACCTGGGGGCTCCTTCCTCCTTCCCCACCCCTCGTTTCCTCCGTCTCCTTCTCCTTCTTGGCTCTTTGTGGTCGCTCATCATCCAAGCCCACCCCCCTCGACCTTACCTTACCTTATCACCCAACCCTTCTTCCCCCTTCAACCTCCCTCCCCCGCTCGTCTTCTTTGCGGCTTCTGGATGTTTTCTTTATCCTGATCCCGCGCTGCAAACTGTACGTCTCACTGCATCTCAGGCAACTGAGAAGCTTTTGCGTGCGCCGGTACGGTACAACTGCGCAGCTTGCCGCCCTCCCGTCTCCAGTCCGCCGTTGGGACCAACGCCTCTCACCTCCACCCCAAGTCTCCCCCGTGCTCGTCGCCCACGAGCGATCCTGATTCTGACCGCCGCTCCGAACGGACTCGCGACTACATGATCTCTATATTTCGTCGCTGAGAAGCCTTCCTCGTTGCGCCCGAGAGCGAATCGTCTTACTAATCCTAGCACGGTTGCCTTTCCACGAGGTGTACTCCCGACCGCTCAGAGCCCGTTTCAGTACTCCTGGGCCGGTCGACCACCTCTTAGAACCGCGAACCGCCCACCGCCACTGCAGCCGAAGAACCAACAAGACATAGCGCTCGGTGTTCGAGTGCTTGCGCATTATCGACAGCCAGTCTCGGTTTCATTTTTTCCTTGCCAGATTTGTTGTGCATTTTGCAGCTCAGATAATCCAAGATGGCTCAAAACAGGTACGTCTGCAACACTGTAACCCCCGGGCTTGGATGAGGCAGCGCGTGCCACGGTGCCGAGGCGGGGTGAGGGGCCGCGCCTCTTGATACCTCCACGCAATCCTCGCGCTTCCTAGTTTCAAATCTTGGGGGACCGTGGAAGCCACGAAAGGTCCGCGGTCGTCAGATTTTGCCACTTTTGGGCGAATGGCTGCCATGCCCTTCAGGGGTTCAAACTGGGAAGCAAGCCGTGTCCGAGCGGGTGTCAGCAGAAGCGATGAAGCGAGAGATGGGAATCACATTGACGATCGATAACTGACCCTTCCACAGTATGTACACGTCAGGGCAGTTCATGAACCCGGGCCCAGCTCCTCGACCTCCCACCGCCCCGAGGTTGAATCTAACGCCCAATGCCAATCTCCCAGGAAGCATGGCCAACATGGCTATTTCTCCCATTCGCAGCACCGCAACCTCCACATATACCGGTTCCACCATCTCGCTCCCGATCGCTCGCCAGCAGTCCAACAACACCGATGGTCTGGGAGGGGTTGCAATTAAGAAGGAGGGATGGGCCTCAGTCAAGGAGAGCAAGAACTTCATCCAGCCTTGGAAGCAAAAATATCTTATCCTCCGTAAGGAGTCGCTCGATTTCCACAAGACAGAAGGTGGCAAGGTCTCGTACACGCTATTCCTAAGGGACGTTGTCAATGTTGGACGAGTTGAGGCGGCCGGCACCATCTTTGAGATCAAGCGGAAGCCCGACGGCTCGTCCAATAGCCCTGGTGATGACGATGGACAGACCAAGACTCTTCAGATCAAGGTGAAGAGCGACGATGACCTCTACGAGTGGATTGATTTCATCTACGGCGCCTGCCCTGGAATGGGCGGCGTTAGTAACCCGACCAATTTCTCCCATGCCGTCCATGTTGGTTTCGATCCCAAGACTGGCGAGTTTGTCGGACTCCCCCCTGAGTGGTCTAAGCTCCTTAACTCGTCTGCCATCACCAAGGAGGATTACGAGCGTAACCCCCAGGCCGTCTTTGAAGTCCTTGACTTCTATACCGATCTGGCCAAGCGGGCTGAGAACCCTAACCAGTATTCCAGTCTGACCCCTACTCCCCCTGCGCAAAGCCAAGGGAACAAGCAACTTGGATATGGCAGCGGTGCTTCAGTCGCCCCTCCTCGTCCCGCGCCGCCTCCTGCCTCTCAACGCCCCGGCTATACTCCTCCTCAGTCTGGCTCGACCCCCCCTCGACGTCCTGAGCGCCCCGAGCGTCCTGCTCGACCTGACGAGCGCCCCTCGCCATCGGAGCAACAGCAGCAGCGCCAGCAGATGCAGGCCATGGCCCCTAACTATGTGTCACAGGAAGCCTTGAGAGAGGAGCAACGTAAGAAGCAGTTGGAAGCTCAGAGACAACGCGAGCGTGAGATCGAGGAGCAGAACCGACGCGAACTGGAAGCGTACAATGCTTCTCTCCCCAAAACTAAGGTACCTCTAGCCCAGCAGGAGATTGGCGGGTACGGCGGATCGCCTTCTCCCCAGCCCGACCGTTACAATCCATCACGAGCCGCCCCCTCGGCACCAAAGGCGCCCACTCAACAAAGCAACCTCAGAGCCCAGCGACCTGCCCCTCCTGCCCCGACTGGTTCCTCGCGGCCTCCTTTGGCTTCGCAGAACAGCTCCAGCGCTCTTCGTGACCCCACCCAAGCGCAGCGAGTTCCTCGCAACGACGGTGCTACAGGCCACGCAAATGCTCCTCGCTATGCCAATGGCAACCAAGCATCGCAGCCCCGGCAGCAACAGCAGCAGCAGCCCTCGCGACTGCCTGCCCCCGTCAAGCCTCTCAATGTCGCGCCCAAGCCCAGTCAGCAACAGCAGCAATCTGATGGCGTCAAGGCCGCCGAGGCAGCGCTTACGGCCAAGCCCTCGCCATCTGAACGCAAGCAGGATGTTCGCATGTCGACCATGTCCGAGAGTGAAGTCATGGCCAAGCTCAAGGAAGCCGTTTCCAAGGATGACCCTAACATTTCCTATTCTAAGCAAAAGAAGATCGGACAGGGTGCTTCCGGCTCGGTCTATGTGGCCAAGATCAAGGAAACCGCCGTGGGTATTGCCCGTGACATGCTGCGCGCGCAGGGACCCCGGGCTCAGGTGGCCATTAAGCAAATGGATCTCGCTCATCAACCACGCAAGGAGCTTATTGTGAACGAGATCATGGTTATGAAGGACAGCCGTCACCGTAACATTGTCAACTTCCTGGATGCCTTCCTGCGCAACAACAACTCGGAGCTCTGGGTTGTTATGGAGTACATGGAGGGTGGTGCCTTGACTGATGTGATTGACAACAACCCGTCGATCTCTGAAGAGCAGATCTCGACCATCTGCCACGAAGTAAGTTCATTGGCATTCTTGACCTTGAGCCACAATTCTGACAGATACCTTAGACTTGCCGCGGATTGCAGCACCTGCACTCACAAAACATTATCCACCGTGATATCAAGAGTGACAACGTTCTGTTGGACGCGCGCGGAAATGTCAAGATTAGTAAGTTGCCAAACAAAGATGGGTGTCATCTAATGTAACCACTGCTAACACGCCCCTAGCTGATTTTGGCTTCTGCGCCAAGCTCACAGAGACGAAGTCGAAGCGAGCCACTATGGTGGGAACTCCTTACTGGATGGCCCCAGAGGTTGTCAAACAAAAGGAGTATGGTCCCAAGGTGGACATCTGGTCTCTTGGTATCATGGCGATTGAAATGATCGAGTCGGAGCCGCCTTACCTCAACGAGGAACCCCTCAAGGCGCTGTATCTCATCGCTACCAACGGAACTCCCCGACTCAAGAAGCCTGAGAAGCTGAGCAAGGAGCTCAAGGCGTTCTTGTCTGTCTGCCTGTGTGTGGACGTCAAGAGCCGCGCCTCGGCGGATGAGCTGCTGGCCCACGACTTTTTGCGACACGGTTGCCCCCTAGCCAGCTTGGCGGACTTGTTGGCGTTCAAGAAGCACGCCAAGTAAGGGACGAGCAGCAAGTGAGGGTTTGACGATATTGAAGAGTAAGGACTCTTTTTGCGACACGGCATTTTGAATGTGGTTTGGAAGCAAGGTGACACATATATTCCCCCCAGATGATTGTTTTTGGCGTTACGGGCGAAAGTTCTTTAGCATCTTCTTCTGGGCAGGAGGATGTCCCAAGTGTAGACATCCCTCTACCTACCTACCTACAGTACCCAGCTGCCTTGCTCAAGGTGCCGAACCACGTACTATCGATGATGATGAAATGCGATGAAAGCTAGGACAAATACCCAGAGTACTAGGAGTCGGGTCACATATAGGGGGCCCTTGAAGCTTTTGAAGGGGTTGGGCAGAGGGAGACGGTCTGCCGCATGAAAGCAAAGCAAGATTTCGAGTGCAAGCGGGAACTGTCACGCGCAAGAGAATCATTCTGAAGCCAGTAATGAAAGACAATATAGAGGAAATAAAGAACTGAGATGTTTGCATGGATTCTACTGAACTGCCTTGAAGTTGTTGATCTGTTTCAGCTCGATCGGTTTGGGAAGCATCGTGACAGGAAATAAGCGGTTCCCTACTACATAGTAGTTACGCAGCGCTTCGAATACGGAGGCTGGGTTGGCATACCTCCATGGTAACCAATTGCATGCTCAAGTTGAGAGGACAAAGGCGCGTCGTGTAACAGGGCAAAGGAAGGGCCACGGCCTCAGGCAAGACAGCCAAGCATAGGCAATGTATCGAATCCCACAGAGGCTCTTGATGGCCATCTCAGTGATTCGACATGAAGTAGACGCGGGGTCACGGGCCGCCCGGGACAAAGACGATGAGTTACCTTTATGGACTGCTCTGTTTGGGGACCACTGGATGGGAATATGAAACAGGGCCAAGAACCAAAGCCGAGGCGTGGCCGGGGTCAGCTCGTGATATGTCGGTATAGTACGTAGGTTACGCTGTATGGATGCCGAATAAGAAAGAGAGTCCAGTGGTGAGTGCGTGTGTGTACGTTTCAACGTGTAGCCCCTGACTTACACCCACCCTGCCCGGGCTGCCAGCTCTTGGGCTCTCGCTCGCGTTCTGTAAGGACAACTTGCTTGCATATGTACGGGTAGGGGGTAAATGGTAGGGCTTGTTTCAGCATGGAGACTAGCAGATCCTCCGACGAGGCTGTGCGGGGCGGTGATTGGGCGTGGCCGAGCAAGGGGTTCGTGAGATGGGGAGAGGTGTCATCAAGTTGGCCAATGGGGTGGGAGTCGGAGTGTGAAAGTGAGAGAGGATATGGAGATGAAATGAGAAAGGGTGTCTGTCATCAATAAAGCTGAAGTACCTGAAGTGAAGAGAAGCCAGAGAATGGAGGCTGTTGCTGGGTTGAAAGTGAGGCGTGTTGTGTTGAGTTGGGTTGTCAAGGTCAGCAACGTGGCTTTCAAGATCAGGCTATGGATGAGGATTCAGACAGTTGAATAACCGAATCCCGAGCAGCCGATGTCAGTAGAATTTCGCCTTGGCTTTTTTTATAGACGTGCGTACTGCCGTCTTATATGCTGGGCAATAGGCAGCTTGATCAAAGTGACCTTGGGCGTCCAGTGTACATGCAAGGCGGGACAAGGAACCCTCGCCTGTCACTCCAATAACTAGATTGACGGGTGCGATTCTAGAGTATAAAATTGCGAATGATTCAGTCTAGCTACAGGTACAAAATTGATTCCAGGCTGAGCTGCTGGCGCACAGAATTGCCAACGTCCTCGGCGCGTGCCGACTCATGTCACGGACGGACCGTGTGGGGCAGAGAGGCTTACGGAGTACACACGGAGTCGAGACGGGGATTGAGACTCGAAACTGTCCGGGCAGGTCAAGTCGTCACCTCCTGCAACTTGATTACCAGCAGGGCCTTGGGCAAGCAAAGCAAGTTGGTACATTGTTAGATGAATATAGTCTGGGGAAGACTGTTAGAGGAAACCAAGCTGCGAAACGAACACCCAATGGCTCGGCTCGTATCCAGGAAGAACCAACTCGTGTTGCTCCACGATGAAACCTGAAAGTACACGCTCCCGTCGCCCCCTGACGGCAGCACAGCACAGCACGGTACAGTACAGTGCATGTTCCAAACAGACAAATCAACTGTCAGCCAAAGCAGAAACGGCACTGCAAGTTTATATCTGCATCCATCTGTACCCTAACACGGGAACAGGACTGCACTGGACAGGCACAGTTACCTTAAACTAACTCGAATCGTCTTGGCGACCTACGGAACGGCTCGGTTTGGTTACCTAGCGAGAGTTTTACCGCACAAAAAAATTGACACTGCATGCAGAAGGACGGGGGAAAAAAAAGACAGGTAAAATTCCCACGCGGCGGGCGCCGTTTCATACTCAGCGTGGACAGGACAAGTTGCGTGTTGCGTCGCTTTGCTCGTGCCGTAGGATGCCCTGTGTACTGCCCGGCTTCACCAAGTTTCCATACCGCAACTGGCCCGGACGCGTAGCTAAGGTACACAGCCCTGAGAGGAACTCGCACAGCCTTGCTGTTGCAAACGTTCAGTCGCCCTGGGGGGGCTGGACGCCCACTAAAATTATCCACCTCTGGGCAACTCGTCCATCCCCCCAAAACTGCCCACAAGGATACAGAGAGTGTGTGTGTGTGTTCGCTCCAGGGCAAAAGCTGGCCACTAACGGCCGTTCTCTGTCCTGTCCGCGTTTTTGGTTAGCGGGCCCCCCCCCCTGGGGGTGTTGATGTACAGTACCTGGGCTACTGTACTGTGCTGTATTGAGTGTAGTAGCCTCTGAGGACAGCTTCCATGCTCCGTTGGGTCTGGGCTGGAAGGAAGCAAGGCGCGGGCGGGCTCTCTGTCTCCCCTTCTCCTTCCTCTTCCCACTCCCACTCCCACCACTCCCACATCCCTCCTTCCCGCCCAAGGTGCTGCTAACTCCCGCCTCCTCCTCCTCCTCCTCCTCCTCCACCCCCCATTTTGCCCCGTTCTCCATATCGCGCGCGCCTCGTCTGCTTCTCCAGGCCCCGTCAAAAAATCTTCCTTTTTTGTCCTTCTCCATGAGGCCTGTATATTGATCCTACCCTTTGTTTGTGCCCTCTCCCCTCTCACACACTCTCTCTTCCTGTCCCCCCTCCCCCCTTCATATAGTCCCCTTCCCCATTCCCTTCCTTTTTTGCATCACTCCCCAAGCCGCGGGCTCGGACGACGCTGGACGGCCACTGTCCAGTCCTTCACAAGTTCCAGCACTCTTGTCTGGCTACAGAAAAGTCCATCGTCTCGATCGGCTCTCCTCCCGGATCGCCTTGTTCCTCGACATCCATATTAGACCTAACGACTCTCGGTCATCGACTGCTCTCGGCTCCGATCTTGTCCTCGTCTCCTTCGTACGAAGCATCCTTTGTAATACCGACGGCTCCTGGATCTCTTCTCGTTCGCATCGCGCTCCTTAAATCCAACACCCCCGTTTCTGTCGCCTACCTACGGTCCATCATCCTCGGCGCTCCACGTCATCATCCACCCCTTCGTCCATCGTTCGGGGTCAGAAGAAAGAAGCTGCTGCAATACCGTACTGTTCACTCGACGACTTCCTTCCCAGGGCTGTCCTTTTCGCCTCTAGATACGACTACACGATTTGATCCACTGGTCAAACCGATCCCCGCTGCGAATAATAATCCACTATCCGGCCCGACACCTCTTCGTGTCACCGTCTCATGAGGTCGGCTAGATAATTGATAATGTCAACTTCTAGATCCGAACACTTGACTCTTGGCTACGCCTCCCAGTCTGCCAGTCAACCCCGTTCCACCTCTCCCTCCGCCAACAACTCTCCCATCGACCCTCTGCCACCTTCTCGCTCTCCATTCGGCCTGTCTGGTGGTCTCAATCCCTCTGGCAAGATGTCGAGCAATCCGCGATCTGGGGCTGGTTCTCCGTCGCACGAGATGTCTGGTTCCAGCCGTCTGTTTTCCAAGAGGTTTGTCCGTCCCAATCTCCGACCTACTTCATCTCCTCGGATTGCCATCATGTCCCCCGCTTGTGACAGTTGCTGACGTGGACATTGTCTCACCGCGCAGGGCTCGCGAGATTCAGGCTCAAGAGGGCGTACCGGGCATGCCGGGGAGCCTCTGGGGTGGTCCTCCCACGAGCGGCAATTCCACGCCGTTGCGTGAGAATATCCCCGAATCCCCAACCGATGGCTTCCCCGACTTTGCCCAGCTTCCCACGCCAGACTCGATGCCTCAGACCAGGCGCGCTCGTGCTGGCACGGTACCTTCGCGCTTCTCTCCTGGGGGAGTAGCTAACGGCATGTTGGGCGTCGCTGGCTTGGCTGCAAAGACCAGCAGGCCAACGCCGACTCAGAGCCCCTTCAAGTCCCCCTCTCCCAACCCAGACCCCCAGGAGAACACGGCTGCCAATTCCAGCTCCACGCTCCTCTCCCGTCTGCGAGCCGGATCCATGCCCCAGAGGAGCCAGTTTGCCCCGATTCCTGGTACCAGCTCCCCTTTCGGTCCCTCCATCTTCAGCAGCTGGAACCCCGCGGGTGTTGGCCGTGAGCGAGCTTCTACCCTCGCCAGCATTGCCAGTGTGGGCTCCAACGGTCCCAGCTCCCCGGCTCAGTCTCAGTTCTCTAAGGAAGGCGGCGGCGAGTCTGATGTCCACATGAGGACCCTGGATTATCTCGGCCTCGCAGAGACCCCGCAGCCTCCCCGCGCCCAGCTTGCGACTCCATACCTGGCCAACCTCGACTTTACAAAGCAAGCAAGCCGTTTCCGATCCTACTCGGTCAACAACAAGGACAAGTATGCCGATGACGAGGACGACTATGATGCCGACATGCCTCTGGATCCCCAGTATGTGGCTGCTCTGCAGGATCAGCTGGCAGCTACCAACGCCGCAATCCACAACCACAACCTTGCCGTCCAGGCCTTTGCCAACCAGGCCTCGGCCAACCGCCCTCGTGCCCGCACCGCTGGTGTTTTGGATACTCCCGGTAGTCGACTTATGAGGACCTACATGTCGAGTGGTTCCAACATGCCCAATGCCATCACGCCCGCCGAGATTCGCCTGCAGGACGAAAAGGATTATGAGGACCTCCCTCAGGCCGTTGCTGGAATGAACCTTGGCAGGTCCAACAGCCGCAATGCCGGCCTTCTCAGCGCTGATGAGCAGGGCCTTGAAGGACCTACCAGCGCACTCTGGCTGGGTAGCATTCCCACTTCAACCACCACCTCGACTCTGATCGAAATGTTCAAGTCCCACGGTCCCATCCTGTCCGCCCGTGTTCTTACCCACAAGAACTGCGGCTTTGTCAACTTTGAGCGTGTTGAGAGTGCCATCTCAGCCAAGGCAAGCATGAACAGCAAGGAGATCTTCCCAGGTGCAGGGCCCATCCGCATCAACTTTGCGAAGCCGCCCTCTGCTTCCAACACTCCTGGTCATGATGGTGTTTTCCCTTCTCCCAGCCCTGACCCATTCGCCAAAGGACAAGACAACGCTCAGGGCTCCAGCTCTGCTACCCCCGCTGGTGAAACTGCCCCTGCCCCCACCTCAGCAAACGCCTCTCCCAAGGTTCCAGCTCTTCGTGAGATGACTACGGACATCCTCGACATTGTCAAGCAGTTTGGAGCTTCGGACGAGGACAGGTTCAGGATCTCTCGCAACCTTCAGTCGGCTATTCAGTTCAACTCGTTCGTCGAAGAGATTCCCCCGATTCGTGAGCCCGCTCATACTAGAGTCCACGATGCGCCAAAGCTCAGAGATATCCGCAAGCGAATTGACAACCAGAGCCTGTCTCAGGCGGAGATTGAAAACATCGCCGTCGACATGCTCCCGGAGATTGCCGAGCTTTCGTCCGACTACCTGGGTAACACTGTGGTTCAAAAGCTGTTCGAACACTGCTCCGACCAGCTCCGCGATGCCATGCTGACCGAGATTGCACCTCACATGGCCGAGATTGGTGTGCACAAGAATGGCACTTGGGCGGCCCAGAAGATCATTGATGTGTGCAAGACGCCCGCCCAGATGACCATGATTGTCGAGCACCTTCGACCCTACACGATCCCTCTCTTCCTTGATCAGTACGGCAACTATGTTCTGCAGGGGTGTCTCAAGTTTGGCGCTCCCTACAATGACTTCATCTTTGAGACGATGCTCAGCCGCATGTGGGAGGTTGCTCAGGGTCGGTACGGCGCCCGTGCCATGCGAGCCTGCTTGGAAAGCCATCATGCTACCAGGGATCAGCAGCGGATGCTCGCGGCTGCCATTGCCCTTCACAGTGTTCAGCTGGCAACAAACGCTAACGGCGCCCTGCTTCTGACGTGGTTCCTGGATACCTGCACATTCCCTCAACGTCGCACCGTCCTCTCGCCTCAGCTGGTTCCCTACCTTGTGCACCTTTGCACTCACAAGGTTGCCTATCTCACTGTCCTGAAGGTGATCAACCAGAAGGCCGAGGCTGATGCACGAGATGCGATCCTCAAGGCGCTCTTCTTCACCCCCAACGACCAGGTTCTTGAGGCTATTCTCAAGGATCATCAGTGCGGTGCCACGCTCATCTTCAAGGTGCTTACGACGCCCTTCTTTGACGAGTCGATCCGCACCCAGGTGGTTGACAATGTGAAGGCTGTCCTTGTTAGAATCAAGGCCCAACCCAACCAGGGGTACAAGCGCCTGATGGATGAGGTCGGCATCTCGACTCGAAACGCTGCCAACAACCGCGATGCCAGCACTCACGCTGAGCAGCGCCAGCGACCAGCTTCAAGACAGGCGAATTCCAACGGCCACCACCCTCAGTCTGCCCACTCCAACAAGCCGTTCTACAACCCAATGAACGCCCCGGCTAACCCCCCTGGCTTCGACATGCCTTATGGCGGCCAGAGGAACGAGGCAGGCGACGGTGGTGTCTCGGCATTCCCTCAGTTCAACCAGGGCATGATGTACAACGCGCCCAGCGGCCCAATGCCTGCCAACCTCCAGCAGATGCAGTACCAGCAGATGATGAACCGTGGCCCGCCACCCATGAATTACAACTTTCCTCCCATGCAGGCTGGTTATGGGGGTTTCAACGGTCCCAACCCCTCTGTCGATCAGTATCGTCAGCAAAACATGCCCAATGGCAGCCCAATCCAGCCTCCTGTCTCGCAGATGCCTCAGATGCCTACCGGGCAAACCCCTTTTGCGCCACCGGGGTTCAACATGGGAATGGGCAACTATGGCTACGGAAACATGGGAGGCGGCATGCCCAACATGGGCTACATGCAGCAGGACCAGGGTAATCCCAGACGCGGCCGCGTAAGTACAACTCAGACTTGTAACGATCAGCAGAGAAACTAACGTGTCTGTCAGAGATGATCAAATCAGCTGTGTTTCAACGGCGTCACTGGGAGCTGTTTGCAACTTAGACGGATCTTTTTGAGCTTTTCTTCTCACTTTTCAGGCCAGTTCCGGCACATGATGCCATCAGGAGTTGGGGGGTACTAGGGGGGTTCTTACTTCGGATACAGACATGCATGGCAAAGACGGCCGCGTTGTCACGATGACCAAATATGGTTGGTATGGACCGGGTGTTCCATCTCATGTGCGACTTTTGGATGCCTTGGGTTGCGTTGCGCTGCGAGATCTCTTGTTTCGACACCTGCCTCCTATCTCTTGCTTTGCTTTGCGTTGCGGGAGCGCATTTCAGGCCGGCCTTGAATGTCCAACTCTGACGCCGCCAACAAACAAAAGACGGAGAAGCGGGACTATTCTATTTCCACGATTGAACGAACCTGGGGGAAAATCACTTTTTCAGAAAGAAAGAAAGAAATAAAACTACTCGACGATCGATTCTTGTTCAAGGCGGCGACGGACGGACGGACGGATTTATGTATGGGCTCTGGTCTGGTCTGGGTTTGTTCAATTCTCTGTAGAAAGGAAACCTTGGCACCCCTTCAAGGGCCTGCGACGAGTCTTGGTCACACTCACGAGAGTGAGCTTTGGGCGCGTCAATGGACTGAAAGGAATCCTTTTTTTGGGCTCACTCAGCCTTGGGTGAAAAAGAAGAGGTTGGGTGGGTTTTCAAAGCGGTCTGGCAATGCCTCACAATGAAAGGATTGTTGTATATTAAAATGGAAGAATAGGAAGATGGGGGCGCTTTTACGACCTTGACCTTTTCACGGCCTCGCAATTGATGTCGTTCATATGTATGATGTACCAATGTCAAGGTCCTTGACTCCCATCATCAACCAGATGGCCAACATATATGTATGGATGACTCTAGACTACCATAGGCAACAGTGAAAAGAATCAACACGTCGGTCACGGCAGCAAGAAACGCATGACAGATTGTTAGGTTTGATATTGGGCTCGCCTTCTTGTGTCTTTTTTTATCCTCGATACCGAAAAGGAGCTATATCCATCACCATTCCACCCCTTCCTTCCATCCTTCCACCTACCCTTCTTCCTCCCTCCGGCGGGTAATAGGATGAAATATCTCATCCTGTGCCACTCCACCGAAACTATGATACAACAAGAGCATTAAACGCAGCGCTGGTTTTGGGTGAACACCTATGTTTGTGCCACCCCGCTTAGAACCCGCTCCCTGGTGCATCAGACCGCTGCCGCCCCGCTGGCGGGTGAAAGAAGTAAGAAAAAAGGAGATTCGTTTCGTCCATAATATAGTGATTTTTGAGAAGTAGAGTCGCAGGGGAAAGACCACGAATCAGATGGCACTGGGAAGAGAAGAGAGATGCGAAGAGGGGGGTACGACCATGGGCAATAAAACCTGAACGGCAAAGCTGGCACAGGAAGAGAAGAGTCGGGGAGGTCGAGGGCGAGGTGGAAGAGAGAAAAACAAAAATGTCAAAAGAGCACCCAGGTCGTTTCTATGCCGTGGTCGTGATGATTTCGAAATATCAAAAGCCTCCCAAACTCCAGCGATCCATAGTCAGCGGGCTCAAGGGGATTTGGGTTGTTGGGGAGTTGATAGAGTGAGAGTGCTCGCATTGCGTGTGAGAGCCTTTGAAATTCGTACACAGATTTCTATGAAAAGGGGAAAAAGTGAAGAGAAGAAAACGGGGGTTACGCTATAGTCAAACAAGAGTGCCAATTTTGGTCGAGAATCGTTGGGAATCGTGATGCTCCGTCCGTCGTGACAGAGCGAGCAGGAACAAGTTCGAGGGGTTGTAAGCCACTCTCGGAACATGTCGATCGAGGTTTAGTCGAGTTCCATAGCGCCTTCGGCGTGGTCAATGGTTGAAGGGGGGGTAGGTTCAGTAACAGGCGGAGGCACCGCAACCTTATCGAGTGGCTCGGCGATGGCTGAGTCTTGGGGAGATAGGATGCTAGGTATCTCGTGCTCCTGATCAAGCATGGTGGTGGTGTCGGGTTCACCAAGAAGATGTCTGATACGGGATCCCATAGCATCCATCTGGGCAAGCAGAACGCGTAGGCTAAGCTTGTCACCGTCTGTGAGGTGGCCAGTAGCGATGTTGCCAGCATCAGTCTTGGCCATGAGTGCCAGGACATTGGGGTCAGCAGCGTCCTATAGATAGATCAGCAACATGTGAGACAAGGCGGAATAAGAACTACTCACCAAGAGAGCAGAGATCAGTTGGTCGACGCTCTCCGACTTGTGGTCCTTGAGGCTGGTCATGGTCAAAGCGACTTGCATCTCGTCCACTGACCGCTGAAGATCAGAGCCTTTGACGGGATGGCTCGAGTCCTTCACAGGCACAGGGGCGTATGACAGCCATCGAGGCTCATCTTGACGAGGGCCGTAGCCAGCGTTTTGGCGGCGCAACCTTGATATAGCGTTAGAACACGGGGGATCGCGAGAGAGGTAACGGTGTCACTCACTGTTCAATAAAGTCCAGTACAATGCCTTGAGCCGGCAGCTTGTAAGCCCGTCCAAACGAGTCGGGATCTGGCCAGCCAGAATTGTTGACGGGCTTTGACTCTGGTTCAGACTCTGTCTCGTCGTTCCAGTCCACTTCAATTTGACCATTGTTCTTGAGGCCTCGTGACAAGGCTGGCGTGATGGTCTGCGCTCCCTTGATCTTGCGGAACCGATGAGCAGGCGCGAGCGAGCGAACCTCGGCAATTATCTCTTCAGAATGGAGAGGGCATCGCCAGTTCTTGAGAACTGGAGGGACGGCCAAAGGAGGGTCCAGGCAATCAATGTGCCAGTAACGCGGGCAGACGCTGCAAGGAATGATGGCCCGGACATCTGTCGCCGCCTTCTGGCAGCCGTGGCAGAGCACAGGTTGTCCATCGTCTCGCTGTCTGAAGAAGTCGGGCACTTCTTCGTAGCCATTCTTCCTCCTGTCGTCTCGGTTAGCAACTCAGATATCTAGATGCCCGGAATGGTCACTTACTTGGTCGTCTTGGCAGTCGTGACCTCCTCGTACTCGCCATCAGGACCAGCCTTGACCCCTTCAAAGCGGGTTTGCAACTTCTTGGGGAGGCTAAAGGCACGAGGAATGCTCTTCTCGAGGTTGTTCAGAGCAGGTCCAAAGACGCCCTTGTGGACAGGCACGCGCGAAGGATACCGCTTGAACAGGCACTCATTGCAATACCACTCATCAGGGAGGTCTTCAGATGGTACCATGCCCACGCACTCAAAGTGGAACGACCGAGGGCATCCGTCGCAGCAGACGACATCACCAGCTGCACCACAGGCGGAGCAGTCCTCATCGTTGTCGGATATCTAACCGCCGTGTCAGTTGAGTGGTTACCAGGGCAGGGCATGCATATCCAGCCACGTCTCATCTCCACGTTGGCCCGCGAGTTCATTCGCATACGATGCGCATCCCTCCTCGCTCCTCGCTTGAGGCTTGCTTCTGCTGCAACGCGTTCCAATCTGGTGGCTGGCTCGGAAAAGCGGATCATTCTTGCAGGGACCACCAAAAAAGAAAAGCCCTGTCTGGTGATCCTCATCAGACAGACCAGACCAGACCGGACCAGACCAGACAGGGCATGAAAAAATGGCCACCATCTGCTAGATCTGTGAAATTTGGATTTCCATCATGATGGTTCCCATAGAGCATCGCCGTTGAAACGCGTCTCGCATCCTCCAAGTGAAATGAGAGACAAACAAGGAAGAAAAAAAAGAAACATACCTGATCCTTGGCGGCCGCGCTGGTTGCTGTGCCATCTCCCATAGCCCGAGGCACTCCGGCTGCAGTTCCTCCTCGCTTCTTCACGGGGCTAGATAGGGCACATATTGTCAGCAAAATTCTTCATGATGCATGCATTCAAACAAGGCCTTGTCTTGTGCAAGAGCCTAGACTAGTGCATCTTTATCTCTGACACAAAAGGTGGTTGGAGATGAATGTGATGTGAGATCAGCCAAAAAAGGGACAAAAGACGTGATTTCTCACGCGTCCAGGCGTCTCTCCATGTCAAAAAACACACCCAAAGCGAGAGCGACATGAAAACCACCATGGCTGTATAGATGGGATCGATGCATCTTGGAGATGAAGCATCATCTGGGGTGTGACTTACGATGACTTGACGCGAAGGCCAGTTCTCTGCTTCTTGGGTGGGCGTAGTGAAGGCGTGGCAGCCCTCGAGCCTGCGACTGAGCTGCTCTCACGCTGGAAAGGCCATGCAACCGGAGACACGGTGCTCTCCATCTCATCGTGAGGCCTCTTGCTGGCCGATCGGGTCGCCCTTGTTGTTGCTGGGGGCGCGATCGACTGACGCGTTCTCCTGGTCTTCTTGGCGGGTGTCGCAACCTGCTCATCGTCCTCAACATCACGAACCGAGCTCTCGCGGACTGTGACGCTGTTGGCAAACTTTTGCGCGTCGCGTCTGCGGTCCCAGAAGGAGTCGTCGTTATCATGACCAGCCTCATCGACCGGTACAGACGAGCCCTTGGCGCCCTTGGCCGCCTTGGTCTTGGGAGGGAGAAGGTTGTTCAAGACGGGAGCATCAGCAAGCCTTCCTGGCATACTGGCTTCGGCACTCACGCTGATGGTGGCACCGGTGGGTGCATCAGCGGCAGAAGAATTGCTGGTGTTTGAGATGACGGGGAGGGTGGGAGAGTGTGATGCGGATGGGCTTGACCTGGATCGCTTGGACTTGGTCTTGTTGGACTTGTTGGAGGCGGCGAGTGATTTGCGGCGGGTGGTGATTGGCCGAGGTTTTGGCGCATCGCTGGAGTCGGCCCCAGGTCCACGGCCAGCTCCAGCTCCAGCTCCAGCTCCAGATCCACGTCCAGGGCGACCGGCCGTTGCCCCTCGACGGACGGGGCTTGGGCTGCCTATGCTGGCCTCTGGAGATGACAGGCTGAGAGCCGACGAGAGCGAAGAGTCGCTAGACGCGGAGTCGCGACGGCCTCTCTTCCGCGACGTCGGTGTTCGGGGTTGCTTGTCTGTCGACATTTTCCGGGGTGTGTGGCGGGTGGCGTGGCCAGAGGCAGGGTGAGAGGTGTGCGGCGCAGGGTGAGAGTAAGAGTGAGAGTGAGATCGAGAGTGAGACCGGGAAGAATGCAGCGTCTTTGCCTTCTTGGCTGCTCGTCGGTGATGATGCTCCTCCTCGTCTTCGTCGTCACCATCGTGCTGATGCTCCTCTTGGCGGTGATGCAGCAGTTTGCCGTAGGGTGCTGCCTTGGGTTTGTGCGGTGTGAATCGACTGTTCGTCGACGGCGGGATAAAGTAATAGCAGCCTTGATTGTCCTTCTTGCCCTCGCGCTTCTTCTCCTCCATCTGCTTCGAGAACTTTCGCATCGTGTCCTCGTCGGCCGTCTGGTTGAAGACATCCTCGATCATGGCCACGAACCGGGGGTCGCCCGATTTTTCGTCGTAGAGGGTCCGCAGCGCCCACGCCGTCGGATAGCGGTAGTGTTTGAGGGCCTCATCCACTGCAGCCTCGACCACCTTGTCGATGAATTCTTTGTCCTGAGGTTCAGCCATGGGCTCGGATGCCTGGATCGTGTCCTTGATGTCCTTGTCCTTTGGCGACTCTTTGACCTCTTTCGCCTCCTTCTCCTTGGGCTCCCTGGCCTCCCTGGTCTCCTTTGCTGCCGGCTTAGTCACAACGATGGAGCTCCTGCGGCCGCCTGACGAGCGCCGTGTCCGCCTCCCCAGAGATGCGCGACCCGACTGTCGCCGCTTCGTCCGGTTCGGGTCGTAATCCTCGTCGTCCTCATCGTCTGCTGCGGCTGCCGCGTCCTTGAGCACAATGGACCTCCGCCGTGGCGGTGTAGGGGGCTGGGTGGTCGGAGGAGGGGAAGACGCTTCCGCCCTTGCTCTGGCAGCAGCTGCGGCGGCGGCAGCGGCAGCAGCATCAGCATCGTGGTCGGCGTCCACGTCGACATCTGCAGCCGGATCACTCGGGTTGGCCTCGACGGTGGATTTGGCAGCGTTTGCCCCTGACGGCCTCAATATGATCCTCCGCACGCCAGAAGTGGTCTCGGGCGCGGCCTTCTTGGGCTTGGGCAGACTTCCCAACGGAGCCATGTTCTCCACGACGCCATATCGCATCAGACCATCATCCTCGAAGCTCGCCTTGCTCTGCACGGTAGGCTCCAACCATCGCTGCATGAATGCCCTCGATCCCTCGGTAGCTCCCTTGGACGCGTCCAGCACTCCGTTCCATTTGGTGTTTTGGGATTGCGCGGGGCTAGAATAGCGAGATCGTGAGGCGCGGGTGTTTGACGAGATCATTGTGTCTGTCGACCTTTTGTGTGGTGGTTGTGGTTGTGGTGGTTGCCCCCCGTTTCCCTGGTGCCCTTCTTTTTTTTCTCCTGCCTGCCGTGCCTCTGCCTGTTGCCGCGGGACAAGCAGCGCACCTCTGTAGGCCTAGGCGGGCTACTGAAGAAACATGGTCAGCCAGGGCACGCGCGTGGGGAGTAAAAAAAGGGGTGAATAGTTACTTCACTCTGGAGCAGCAGCATGAATTACTGCTGCGGTATCGCGTCTTTTCCGGGCGTTGACGCGGTGTCTTGACGAGGAGAAGAAAGGAAGAGGGTGGTGGTGGGTAGCGGGTTGAGACGAGACTCGACTTTGAGAAGGTCCAGGTAAAGGTGCGGTGCGTCCTGTCGGAGCTGGCGGCGCGGGTCGGACAAGGGGTCGCGGGGGGGCGGGCAATTGAGCAACGCACGGGGGCGACCTGGGCCCAACGGCTCCAGCTCCAGCTACCTACAGCCCTGCTAATCAGTGGATGGAGGGTTATCGGCAGTGCCAGTGTCAGTGGTAGTGATTGAACAGCAACGGTACTGAAATAACGGCAGTTATAGGGCACTGTGATGAGGGCATCAGGGTGAGTACGAGCTAGGTAGTTTGGATATCCATCCATAGCTCCAGCCCCAAGACGGGCACCCACCTCATGAGCATCAAACATTCACACAGTAAACTCTCACTGTCATGCTGAAAGCCCTGTCGCCTCTTTTCCCTCTCCCTCCTCCTTTTCCTTTCTTTTTTCTCATTTTCCCCTTCTCCTTGTACTCTTTTCCTTTACCCTCCCGTCTTAGCTCTCCCACCTCTCTCTTCCCCCAGGTCGTCGAGTCAGAAGCTCAGCAAAGCTCCATTACCCATCAGCCCAACCCAAGTCTAGCTCCCGTCTCGAGCTACAGTATAAGGGGGTCAAGGTCGAAGCTCCCCCATCAGTGCACAATCCCGTCCTCTACCTGAATCAAACATTTCCTGTCCAGCCTGATGCTTACTTTTCACCGCAAGGCAGCCTTTAGGACTAGATGGATGCCTCGTCTGCTTTTTTCTCCCCAACCTCATAGCCCGCCTTAGGCCGCCTCGTCACAAATCACACGCCGTCAGGGGCCGGCCGGGAGGGGGCACAACAAGGCGACTCTGCCCGACCTGGCGAATTGGAAGCCCCTGGCCACGCATTGTGCATCAGGTCCCCCTTCCTCCATGACGAGACCTTGCTCGCTCCCGTCACTCACTCCCGTCATTGCCCCCAGAGCTACCATCCATCGGGTCGGTCTTGTGGCATCCCGCCACAGCACGAGCAGGCCAACTCCCATCAGTCATCAAGTCACTCACTGTCCCTTATCTCAGGCACTCGCCTCGTTTTGCATCCACATGACGATACCCCTCATCCAACTCCTCCACCGGACCCCTTTAAGCCTTGTTCTCACTCCTCTTGCTTGTGTGCATGCTTCAGCCAAGGCCTCCCCAAGATCACTATCCACGAGGCAGTCAACAAGACAACGACAGAGTCAGGGGCTTGGTCAGTATAAGGCTGTTTTGGGCTTCTATATACCTCCCCGGGCTTCCCCAACCATCTAACTAACATGTTGGGCGTGATATTTCGAATGTCGAACGTCCCCGTTAACTTTCCAAAGGTTTGCGCTGGAAAGATTCTTCCTCGAATAGCCCCGTCCGACAAAGGCATGATCAAAGACCCGACCTGTTGACATGCATGCTGATATCTTGCGCCTCTTCTCCTTGGATCGTAGGTTGTCCAACCCCGTCATCAACATCTCCGCTCTTGCCATTCCATTTACTCGGCATCAGCCTCGCCCTCCTTCTTGGCCTTCTTCTTGGGCTTGCTCTTCTTCTTGCCCGTGTTTCGGGCGGTGGGCTGCTCCAGAATCTTGAGAACCTCCTCGTCCTCAATCTTCTTGTCCGACTGGTACTTCTCCAAGTCCAGGGGAGGGGGCGCACCCAGCTTGGTGATGCCGTTCTTGGTGATGGCTGTTTTCATGTCAGCGTCAGGGGCTTCACAGTGGCCACTTGGCGTCTCTCGAATCAAGTAAATACTAACCAATGGTGGTGAGGTATCGGGCAACCTGGGCGTTGTCCTTGTCGCCAACCAGCTCGTACTGACGGAAGACGTTACCGCGGACACACTCGACGACGCCAGACTTGGCATCACGCTCATCCTCAAGCTGTCGCAAGCTGAAGGGGAAAGTTCCGAACTTCTTCTGGACCTCGGAGAGGATCTTGCGAGAGGTAGGTCGCTTGAGGCCGTAGGTCTGGTTGGTACGGCGGTGGAGGGTGGGTCGCTGGTCGATACTCTTGACCTTGCCAGAACCCAGACTGACACCAACCTCGACACCCCAGACCTCGCTGATCTCGGGGGTACCGTCGCCCTTGGTGCCCTCGGCGGGGGCGAGGACAATCTTCTTGCTTCCCTCAATCTCGTTGCGGTCAAACAGCCACGAGGTGGTGCTCTCGACGAGGTTCACATCGTAGGCCTTGGTGACCTTCTCCAGAAGGCTGGTGATCTTGGACTGGGTAGGGGCCTTCTGGGCGGCAGCCTTGGCCTTCTCCTCATCGGTTCCCTGGGCCAGGAGGCCAGGGGGGATCATGAGTCGCAGGAGCAGCTCATTGACGTAGTAGTTGGCCAGGATCAGATCGGCGGTGCGGCCAGTGACGGGCTCTCCGGCCTTGTCCTCGGGGGTAGCGACGACAGTGTCGCAAACGATGGAGCCGAAGCCATCGATCTGGGCACCGAGCTGGATCTTGATGGGCTCTCCCTCCTTGATCTCGATACCGGCCTCAGCCTCGTCGGAGGTAAGGGGAGTATAGGGAGTGACGTAGGACGCGGGGGAGACCGTGGTGGGGTGGGAGAAGCCTAAACGGCGTCAGTGATGCTGTACGGGCGGGAGACGTGGGAGTTTTGGAAGACGGACCCTTGTTGATCTTCTTGCCTCGGTAGACCTTGGCAATCTCCTCCTCGATCAGCTTATCACCCTGCTGGCAAATGTCGACAATCTTGGCGCCGGGGACGACCAGCTTTGAGACCTCGGCCAGGACCTTCTCGGAGATCTGGGCAGCAGTCTTGTACTTGGTAAGAGTATCTGGGTTAGCCAGAGTGTAGTCTGTAGAGCGGCATCAGCATCAGTGTCGTTAGACAGGACTCGACATCTCAAGCGAGGTCATCGTGGGGCAATGGTGACGAGGGCATTCGCAGGAATGGGTTGTTGTTATGGCGGGGCAGCCAGCAGCTGAGCAAGCGAACGGCGAGGGGCAGCGCCAGCGCCAGCGCCAGAGCCAGAGCTACAGCAGGCGAGCTCCCGCAGAAGAGCTCTTTGATGTGCGCGCCATTGGATGTCGAGCAGGGCAGAACAAGATAACACAGCAAGACTCACCGATTTCCTTGTTGTCCGACATGGTGGGCAAAATTGTTCAGGTAGGTTTGGTTGGTGAGAAGGGTGAAGAACTACGAATGCCGGGGGAGTGTGGACGACGAAAGCTCGACCAAGTCGCTCGCACACACAGAAATGGAAGCGGGGGCCCTGGGACTGGACTGGGAGCTGGAAGGAAGGGCTTCAACGACAGGGTTTTAGTGGAGGAGGGGCCCAAGAATGGATGGACTGCATTCGAGGGTGGATTATTGCTATTTAACTGTATGATTTATGGTGATTTCTCGTTTTGATCAAGTTGGCTAGTGCTTGCTTCTGGTCTGTGTAACCCATGCCTCCCCTCGGGTTGCCCCGATGTTCATTGCTGGTGGTGAATGCTGGTGTATTATGTCTGGGTTGTGTGCGTCTTTGTGTGCGCAGAAGCAAGCGCCACTTGCAGCAGAGCGTGATGGTCAAGAGGTCAACAACACGTCATTCCAGTTGCACATAGACCATTTAGTACCTGGGGAATTTGCAAAATAAGTGCGTCTTCTGCTTGCAGCTTGACCTTTCTCGGAGACGGCCGCACACGGTCACCATTTTTTTACCCGAGTCAAGAGTATTCGGGCCTCGGTGTTGAGGGGCTCAGGAACTGTCGTTACTGATAATGACTTCATCCAGCCCTATTTTCCTTTCCGTCTTGGGCAATCGGTCACTCCCGTCTGCCGGGGCTAATTTTAGCTACCCTACACTTTCACATGTGCCCTCGATTGTGACATATGGGGCTCTCTCGGGGCTGAAAATTGCCATTGGGCATGGTTTTGCTTATGTTTCTGTGTTCTTCCTATCTTTGGAGTGTTTTTTCTCGGTTCAATGTGTTGAATGTTGCTTAAAATCCAATTGCACCGTTTAAGCCAGAACGTGCTGTTGTAAGTCAACCAAACGGAGGCGTTTTGCGCCACATATGCGTCCCCAGTACTTGAACAAGATTGCAGCAACATATATTTTTAACCAAACAACGCCTTTGACGTGACATCACCATGCAAACAATAATCAACGGGACCCCGGACATGAAGGTAACTGTATTGTAATTTACCAAGAATGTATCATAACATGAAAGGGGCTATCAGTCTCGCGCTCATTCACAAGCCACACGTGGCGCAGTAAAGTCACTCTACATACCAATCACCACAGCTCGCGCTTCGCAGAGGTACTTGTACAACATGTCAAAGACACTCTCTGACTGATCCAGCAAACAGGAGCCTTCGCGCGGCGCGGCAGAATCCTCCCGACCCTGCACCTGCGCCTTCCGCCTGGTTAGAAACAAATCCTCAACTCAACTCCAGCCTCAAGCCTCGCGCCTCGCCTCGCCTCGACCCCAGCGACTTCATCCATCCCCACCCCAACCAACGTGGCATCCTCGCCGCTGACGATCTCTCTACGAGCCCCTCGACGTGTCGCGCATCCTGTTTCAACCCATCTCAATATTTTGCCCTGCTTTGCTGCTTCCGTCGCGGCCATTCCGCTGCGCCGCGACCGCGATCCGCGCCCCGTGAGCCTCGAACATGGCTGCTCAGCCCTCCACTTCTACGGCGCCGGCCACGGGTCCGGCGTCCACCGCGACCTCGGCCTCCGATAGGGATGCATCCGCCGCATCGTCGAGCAAGATGCCCGTGCGGACAAAGGAATCTTATGATAAGCTCATGGTTGAGCGGTACATCACCCGTGATGCCATCGCCGCTGCCGCGCTCGGGAGTCAGCTGGACCACACCCGAAAAATAATGGCAGACACACGCGACAAGATTCAGGAGTATCGCCAAGTTCGCACCGATTATCGCCAATGGTTCCCGCCTTCACGGCTCTACGGCGAGGGCTACAATGGCTTTGCCAATGGATACACAGAGAACCACGGACCCTCCAGGATCATCTATCCCTCCCAGAAGCCCCGACCCGGCCAACGGACCACGCCTCCCCTAAAGTACAAGCGCAAGGACATGCTCAAGCAGGCCGAGCAGCATGAAGAGTTGGTGCCCCTGCGACTGGAGGTCGAGTGGGATAAGATCAAGCTGCGCGACACCTTTACCTGGAACCTTCACGAGCGCCTGTTGGGAGTCGAGCTCTTCGCCGCGCAACTCGTCGAGGACATGGGCCTTAAGCCCCCCGCATCTCACCCCGTCTACGAGCAGGTGGTGCATCAGATGCGCGAGCAGTTGAACGATTTCTATCCCTTCGTCTACTCGGAGGAGGACGCCCTTGACCCAGAGCTGCCCTACCTTGCGTACAAGAATGACGAGATGCGCATCCTCATCAAGCTCAACATCACCATCGGCCAACACACGCTCGTCGATCAATTCGAGTGGGAGATCAACAACCCTTCAAACTCGCCTGAGGAGTTTGCTGCCAATATGGCAAGGGACTTGTCGCTCTCAGGAGAGTTCACAACCGCCATTGCGCACTGCATCCGAGAGCAAACTCAATTGTTCACTAGGAGCTTATACAGTGTCGGACACCCCTTCGACGGACGGCCGATCGAAGATCCCGACCTGGTCGGCGCGTTTCTGCAGACCCCTCTTCCCTCCGTCTTCCGACCTCAACAGCAGGCCAAGGAGTACGCCCCTTACCTATACGAGCTCAGCGATGCCGACCTGGAACGAAACGAGACGATTTTCTCACGCGAGCAACGCCGGCAGAAGCGGTCCATCAACCGAAGAGGAGGCCCACAACTGCCCGATCTTAGAGAACGGCAAAGAACGATCCGCACTCTCATTGTGTCGTCTGTCCTGCCCGGAGCAGCGACCAGCATTGAGGAGAGCCGGCTGTATAAGAGGGCTGCTGGGCCTCGAACGAAACGTGCCGTACGCGATGGCGAGATCTCGGACTCAGACGACAGTGAGGATTCGGCTCCTGATTCTCCTGCCCCATCACAAATTACTGGCGGTACTGCTCGAACTCGGGGCATGCGCGGAGCTGCTTCGGCGGCACAGCAGAGGATGGCCAACCTGGGCCGCTCCGAAACTCCCGAGGCCAGCGCTATCACACATCACCACGAAACCAGGACGTCCCGTCGGTTCCGTGAGGAGACGGAGGAACCGGCGCATATGATTGTCACGCTCAAGCTCAACCGGGAAAAGCTGAGGAGGCTCATGAACCGCGACTATCGCGATCTAAGGACGCCTTCTCAGACACCAGTCCCTTTCCCTCGTGCCCCTAGCGCTTCTGCTTCTTCAAGATCTATGCCACCGCCGCCATCTACACCATCTGGCTCCACCCCTCAGGCGCATCCTACTTCGACATATCCTCCAGGCCAAATAGGCCGACTACCAGCACCACCGCCTGTTCCTGGGCAGGCCCATCCTCCAGCGGTAAGCCCCCAGTCTATAGCTAATTACCAACTGAGCTGACTGAGCCCCTTAGCCCCCGCCGCCTGAGTGGCTTGTCAACGCCCTCAAGGAATTAGAGAAGACATACAACGAAGGCGACAGGTTCGAGGCCATCATGAAATACTCGTACCTCGACCCAGTGACGGAACTCCCCGTTCAGAACCAACCTATGCCCGAGGGCGTTAGGTATGCCTGGTTGCCGCGCATCCGGTGCCTGGACTGTACTACTAAGTTGTATACACCCGGCCCTGATATGACGGCCCAGAAGTTCGAGGCTCACCTGAAATTCTCGGCGCACAAGAACCAGGTTCGGCAGCGCCAGGCGCGGGAGGCAGCAGCCGCGTCGGCGTCCAAGTCTTGAGAAAGCGAACTGGCATATTCTTAGCATCTTGGCAGTCTTGTCATGTCGACGCATTTCATACGCTTACCCCTTGGGGGCTGTTTCTTGGGTCATGTTATTCCTAGACGAACTTGGGGCGTTGTTCCATCTTTTTTTTCTTCTTTGCTATGCGTCAGACTCAAAGTATCGAGTATCTTTTATCGCTGTACATACGACTCTCGGTCCAGAGGGAGGGAGAGAGAGAATGGGAACCAAGCGGCCTCTCTCCTTCGAGGTTGGTCTAGTCATGGAGTCTTGATCTTGGAGAAATAGGGGCGGTAAAACCACTGTATAGCTAGGATAGGGGAATGAGTGAGAGATATCAATACGAGAGCGATTGCTTGCCACCTTGAATTTGAGCTGTGCTCTCTGTATTGTTCATTGATGAGTCTTCACACACGACGGTTTCAAACGAGCCATGTATAATCAACGTCTTCGCACGCAGTGCTCGAGTCCCGTATGAGAGGGTATATGAAAAGGATAAAAAATACAGAGACAAGCCTCAAGACTCCCTTCCTTGACCCGGCATCATAGGTAATTCAACACCCGCCTCCCATTCATTCACAACTGGCCCGGCTATCATAAACCATTCTCCGGCACACCTATATAGAAGTAATCGAAAAAAAAAAGACAACACCGCGTATCCATTGTTTCCCGTATTTTCGTTCACCCTGCTGCTGCTGCTCTCGATTTCCCCTGTTACTCCTCTTCGTCATCGTCGACATCCATCTCGGCCGACTCCTTGCCTCGTCGACTCCTCGTCGACCGTGTTGGACGCTTCGCCTCGGTAAGGACACTAGCCTTGACAGCTGGTTTGGCAGCAGCTTTGGTCCTTGACGCGAGAGTGGCCGTCTTTCGTCCGTTAGACTTTGGTGGTTCGGGCTCATCCACCTCCATTTCAGGGGTTTCGTTGTCATCGTCATCCTCCTTTTCAGGCTCCTCCTTGTCTGATTCTGCGCCACTCTCCTCAGCTTGCTTCTCTGAAGGGGCATCAGAAAGCTCCGACTCAGCGTCTGAGCCGGCCTCACTATCGTCTCCGCTGCCGTTGCTGTCGCCCTCATACTGCCATTCGGCAACACCCTCCAGCATCTCGGCCTCATCTTCATCATCGTCTCGCTCCGTGTAGATCGACACCTTGTGAGCTCGACCACTGCGACGGCGCTCCGAAGGCGGCGGTGAGTCTCTAGATGGCCGAGGCTTCCTAGACTTTGATACCTTCTTTGCCTTGGGAGTCTTGGGCTTCTTCTCCCTGCTCGCCGCCTTGGACTGTGTCCTCACCCTCTTTGCTGGTGGATCTTGCCTTTCACTCATAGACTTTCGCTTCTAGGTGAGACGTTAGCAAGGTCTCTCTCTAGCTGAGATAAGAGGGACACAAACCTTCTTACGATCGAGAGCTCTGATGAGGTCATCAAGCTTTTCATCCAGCTCATCTGGGATGTATTGCTTCTTTGCAATCTCTCTGGCTTCCTCGTTTGATGTCAAGGCCTGGACGAGCCCTTGAGGCATGCCGACCTTGGCTGGATAAGCCTGAAAGACCCAATTCTTCTTCTCTTGCCACTTGCGGGTTACCGCAGTTGCGAGATCCGACAACACATACAGCCTCTCGCTGGCCTCGGGCGTGATAGCGTCCCGGGTCTGCTTGACGCGCTCAGCGTACTTGTAAATCAGGGAGATGTTCTCCTCGGTCGCGCATGTGTTGAGGTAGAACAAGAAGTAATTTGCAAAGTCGGCCAGATCATTGACGTCTGAGCTGTAATCGGGATGATGTGCCAGCAAAGGGATAAGCCGGCTCATAATGGACTCAAGCACTCTTCTCTTGGCCTCAGCAAGGCTTCGAGCTCGCGATCTGAGCCACGTCTCAACGCGGCTCTTGAGCTCAACCGCCGGCTCAAAGGCGGCTAGGAAAAGGATGGCGTAGAATCTCCCAGGCAGGCGTCCTCGACTGAGATAGTTTTGCAACTTCTCCATAAAGAAACGGCGGACTTGTAGCTCAGTGTCTTGGATGAGTTCAGCAAGCTTGTTGAAGCTGGCATGATCAAACAGCTCGTCGTAACGCTTGACAGTACACATCTTGAGGACAAGTAGACCCGCAAGGAGCCTGAGGCGCTTCTTGTGAGCTAACGGAGTGTCCTTGACCTTGCAGAACTCTCCCTCGTGAACCAACAGGTCCTTGAGAAGCTCGAAGACGGTCTTGACTCGTTCAGTATCGGGATCTTCCTGAGTTGCAAGTGCCTGGTTGACCAATGTCCTCAACGACAGAATCTTGGCTTGGAGCTCCTCATTCATGTCGGCGTCCTCAACCCAGGTAACCTCGGGGGTTTCATCCTCTGTGCGGACCTGACGCAGGATCTTCTGAATCGTCAATTCGTTGATGGCATCGTCAAAGTCGACTGTGACCGTTGGTGCCAGGCGCTCCAGTTGGCTGACTGCAGTCAGCTTATTGAGAAAGTGCGGCGAGCCATAGTCGAGGTCCTTCATGACCTTTTGTATGAGATTGGTGGCCGTGACCTTGCTCTTGTCGTCATTCCTGGCAAGCAGAATATTGACAGCATACTTGGCAGTCCTGGCCGGTGTTCCATATAGAGCGTAATCCATGAGCACCTGGATGAACTTTCGATCATAGGTAATGTCTTTGGGGTATCTTTTGGAGAATGACGAATACGCCTTGAGAATGTCCACCATACCCGGGTCGTTAGAGCGGGTTTCCGATGGCACTTGGTCAATGATCTCCTTTCGCAGGGTTTCCGAGTGAGCCTTGAAAAGGTCAGGGTTCCTCTGTGAAATGTCGTTGAGAACCTCGTGAGCAACAGCAGCGAATCCGCCCTTGTCGTTCTTGGAGTAATCCATAATCGTTGCCAGATGACTTCGGTTATACATCAGTGAACCAGAGCGGTACAGCAGTGGAATGAGCGTGTCTAGACAGCCTGCTGCTGATGTGCTCGCTTGGATCCTGCCAAACATCTCATTCATTGACCTTCGCACAGCCAAGAAGTCGCTGTCAGAGCTAATGGTCCACTTAACCAGCTGGTAACAACGACGGTCGTTGAACTTGGCGAACTTTTGGAGATCGCTGCGAACCTTGAGGGGATCAGGGAGGAAGGTACCGAACCATTGATATGTCTTTTCCAAGACCTTCTGGACCTTCTCCTCGTTGGCGTGGCCGACACCGCCGTTATGTGCCTCGCATTGCTGGATGAAGACTTCGACTCCCTTGGCAACTTGTGGTTGACGTGCCTGCATGGCGAAGAATGCCTTCTTGGCGGGAGCATCGAGAAACTTGAGCATAAGGAGAATCCTCTCAGCTCGAATCTTGTCTTGATCTGCCTGGCTGCCACCAGTCTGCGACTGCGACTGAGACGAAGCCTTTGCCGCCTTTCCACCCTTAATGATGGGATACTTGAGAGGGATCAGGCATTCGAACATGACACGGTCCAACAGGACGTTCAGATCCGGATCGTTGGCATAAAACGCGTTAATGATGCGAGAGGGCACGCCACTCAGACAAGTCGTGACGGCCTCCTGACCGTCAGCGATCTCGCCTGAGCCAACTGCCCAAAGCTTTCCCAGTAGGACCATGGCATCCACACGCACGGCGGGCCTTCGATCACGGCAGCGGTCTGCAAGACTGGCGAAGATGGAGCCGGACTTCTCCACGCCGCCAATCACTCCCAGCTTCAGAATGATGTCGCGGAAGTCGAATAGCTCGATTGCCTTGACGGCGGCCAGACGAACCTTTTCCTCGCTGTCATTGAGCTTGTCGCTGAGGGCTTTGACGAGTTCAAGCTCATCCTCCCTGCTCAGACCAATGCCTCCAGCAGACGTGGCTAGGATGTAACCTGCGGCCGTTACCCAGGCTGCGCGGATAGTACCAGTCTTGTCGTTTCTTCTCCCCACAAAGTTGCGGTAGGCGGTGTGATGAGTTTGGGCAAAGGAGTGCGGTGAGTAAGGCTTTGTCAAAACATTCTCGACTGCTGCAGCTGGCCTTTCGTCCAACAGCTTCAGAGGAGGGTACGCTGCCGGCTCCAACACAGGAGCTGGAGGAGGCCCAGCCACACCGATCCCTGAGATCATATCACCAATGGTCTCGGTTGCAATCTGGCGAAGGTATACGTTGTCGGCAGAAAGCTCGGCCTCAATCTGCGGCACGACGCTGAGAAGAACTGCAGGAGCAGCTCGCCAGAGCTCGCGAATCAAGTTGTGCGCCTGGTCAAGGCTCTTCAATTCGGAACTCGATGGGCCCTCAGCGGCGTCCTCCTCATCGTCATCCCCTTGTCGATGGCCGTTCGCCTTGGTGGCGAAGCTGGAGGCGTTAAGAATAACATCGCTGAAATATTGGCTAACATAACGGGCCATCTTGTCAGAACATCCATTGCAGATATTCTTGGCCATAACATAGGCTGGTGGCTCAGTCTTGACGAGAAGGGTGGATTGGTTTCCATTCTGCTCTCGACCGCGCTTGTCTTTGGTTTGAGGGCCGGCTCTCAAGAATTGGCTGATGATGATGTCGACTACATCGGCTGATACGCTGGCTGATTCATCAATCAATTGCATCAACATCTCTGTCAGATGAATCTCGACATCCTTGGCAACCTGTTCTTCAGTGGCGGGTTTGACTCCGGATTTTGATATACCATCGAATGTGGTCTTGAAGAGTTGTTTCATGAGGCCATCGCCGCCAGAGATGTCCTGAACGAGCAGGATACTCTTGACATCAGTCAGGGACGTCAGGACATACTTGTGCTGGCTGTCGTAGGGGTTCGTGGGGTCATGCAAGGCAGGCAGAATGACGTTTATGAAGAGAGAAAACATGGACTGGGAATCGTGTTAGCTTCTATATGTCCCCCAGTTATACTCTAGAAGAAACCCACCTGGAGCTGGTCGTCCGAGTAAGGGGCGTCAGGGACGTATAGTCGTAGGATGTCGACAAGACAGCAGGCAGTGTACGCCTTGACTCCCTGATCCTTATGCTGAATCAAGTTTCGATGGCCGAGGTGCTTGGCGACATTCTTCAAAGAGTCGAGGTCGGTGGCGCCTTGGTCGAGCTCGGACAGTTCTTTCGATAGGGCTTCAAGCCGCTTAATCAAGGTGGCCGTTGGAATTGGTTTCGCTGGCCTCCACGAAAGCTCCTGGTCGAAATCTAAACTTCGCAACTCGACTTCTTCGTCATCGTTTTCGGATGCTTGGTCGCCCTCTTCAGGAGCGGCCTCTTGCTCTTCCTGCTCTTCCTGATCCTGCTCCATAACCTCCTCTTCCTCCTCCTCCACCACCTCGACGGGCTTTTGAGCGCGCGCGCGACGACGCGCCATGATGCGCTACTTGGGGATTGTCGCTAGAAAAATAGACCGACGAGATTAAATGGTAGGGCTTTTCGAGGCGGTCAAGGTACGGCCTTGATCTGCGGCGGGTTGAGGTGACGAAATGCTTCGAGTCGTACTTGGTTGCGGAGGCGGAAGCGGAAACGAGGGTGGTGCGCGACAGCAGGGTCACCACATGGCATGCGCACTCGCAAGGAGATACTCTCGGTGGCTAAGATATACTCAGCACGAAGCGCCCGATGACGGACTCGAAGACGGCGGGATTGAGCGTCGTGGGGGACAGCTCGGGCAGCTTTGATTGCGTGCGATGCGAAAAAGGTGAATTGAATGTGAAGGTGGGAGAGAGGGAGACTCTGCCAATGTGATAAGCGGAGGCGCGTTCCCCTGCAAAGCTGGAAGCTGCACCTAGCCACTTCATGTTATGCGTACCTTCTCAATGCAACTTTGCAAAATTATGTAAGCATGATGACATAAGCCATTACAAGACAATTTTACCTCCTAACAATTTTCTTTCTTAGTCAAGACTTGAGGATTTATTTCCAAGTCATCACATTTACGAGTCGCGACGTTTCCTGACGGGAGTCATGGCGCAGTGTCTGCTCCGAACGTCTCAACACCATGGCTAAGGAAAGACTTTCGACTCAGCAAACCCAGGCCAAGGCCAAGACTAAGGCCAAAAAGGATTCCAAGAAAGGTAATTCCTTTTACTCCATTTCTCTATAGACCTATCTAACAATTCATACCTAGGCCAGCCGCCAGCGGAGATCCAGAAAATCTGCGATCTTCTAAAAGCAGTGATTGATTCGCCTGAAGGTCATCGCCAAGAAAAAGCCGTGATGGCCCTCAAGGAGGCCCTCAATGCCGAAGAAGAGGCAGAGCGTCATAAGCGGCGCATTGCTGCTTCTCTCTCGTCGCGGCCGAGTTCCAGCTATGAACTGCTCAAGGCCGACTTCAAGTGGCTACGCGGTACCGCTGAATTGATAAAGAAAGAGCTAGACCGTCCAGGCTCTCAGCCTCGCCTTCACAAAAAGATTTCTTCGTCTTTCAAGAAAACAATTTGATCGAGAGTCTTAGGGGATTGCAGGATGCGCTCGGCTTGTGGATATCGTGAGAGGAAGCAGACTCGAACCATTACAGATAAAGCAAGGTCAAGGAGGGAATAGCCATCCATTTAATTCCATCAATTTCTGATGCTAATTATCTCACCCAGAACCTACTGAGTGAAGTAGATTGAGCCCTAAGAAATCTACGACTGTGCTAAGCGTCTTAGACACCCTCGATCTCTTAGCGCACTGTGCGTCCCTCCTATCCTCGCCTTCATTTCCACCTAGTATCCACTCAAGAAACACTTCTCTCAAGCGTCTTCGTCCATCTCCGAAGCATCAGGCATTGCCTCATCATCGTCTTCATCTTCACCTTCACCGTCATCTTCGTAGTCGTCATCTGGCACCCAGAATGCCTTTAGCAAACTTAGCTCGGTGGCGGCCTGTGTCACCATACTTTGAGCGAAAAGATCATGTCGCATGAAACTCATCTTGAAGAGCTTCACCGCTAGCTCGCGACAATGATTGATGTCCATTGTTGACCTGATTTCTTGAATTAGCTGGTTCGGAGGGACAATTTCCGTCACTGTGCCGCCAAGCTCCATAACCACTTCTCGTTCAGCTGCCCTGAGTTGCTTGATGGATTGTAGCTGTGCCCGTTTCAAGTGGATAATGCGCTCCAGCAGACCAGGATCAGTGGCACGGCTAGTTGATCTTTGCTCCTGGGTGTCTAAGGGCTGGCCTACCGAGGCTGAAGCTAGGTAGTACGCGGTCTGAATGGCGCCGTGTAAGGCTTCACCCTGAGCACGTCCGGCTGTATGCTCTGCGCAGAATAATGTGATAAATGCTCGGTAGAACGACTCATCGATCGGCGTATTCAACATTGCGCCAGCGCGTAGGCCCCGGGCTAGTTGACAAAGGGCCTCTGGGAGAATGCTGCCTGGGCCGTCCGCGGGTACTGGCCAAAGTGCCTAACTTTTTGTTAGTTCTAGGTATCTATCACGCAAGTTAAATAACTTACTTGGCAGGCTCGGGAAGCCTCGCTTGCCTCTCGTATATCGAAGTTATCGTTGCCCTCGATCATCAACTGTAGCAACTTCCAGTTGCCTTCGTCGTTGGTTCCTTGAATTTCCTCCCAGTTGGTCCTCCCCACAGAACTCATGATGACATCGTAAGCCTGCTCGAGGTGGCCCATCTCCCCGCCATCATTCCACAGCGTGATTGCTTGGTGAACATACGAGAAAATTGCCTCCTTGGGGGCGATGCTTCGTAGTTCACCTTGGGGAGCCTTCCAAGTGGTGGAACGAACGAGGTCGCAGAAGTCATTCTGGTGTTGTTCGATGTATGCCTTAGTGAACTTGCAAACGCTGGCATTAAATGCAAGCGTTCGCAACTTTTCCTGGGTGTCATAGATGCTTTCTACCCACTCACGATAAAACACAACTCGATTTTTAGCCTCCGACGGAAGCCAAGACTTCTGGTATAGCCCGTCTTCTCTATCGTGAAGGAGGAATAGGGCACACCTGGTGTGGTTGAGTTGTTTGACCACGATACCTGCTGTAGGAGCTTGAGGGAGAGAGCCATGGGTGTTGGGATTGAAAAAGGGAGGGGACTTTGCCGACTTTATTGCCTTGCCCTTGAGATCATTGCAGTATCCGACAGGCAACAGTTCCCCGACGACGACAGCTAGCTCCTCCCTATCTACATTAGCAATCACAACTTGAGATTTGGTAAGTATGACATACTGGAACACATCTTTCACCACCAAGTCTTTCTCGGTCCAGCGTTGCTCTTCTCGGGGTTCAAAAGGGATCAACAGTGTCAAGCCGGCGTTCTTGCTATCCTGTGTGGTTTTGCGGGTGCGGATAATCTGTCGAGGCTGTCTGCCTTCTCTGCCGGTGCTGTAGGCCCATCCGTAGGTGCTGAAAGCGAAATCAGGGGAGCCGTTCATCGTGCAGGGTGCGCTGATGGCAGCGACAGCGACGAGGCCTTGGAGGAGAGGAAGGGTGCTGCTGGCAGCAAAGAAGTCGTAGATGCAGGGAAAGAAATCTCTCTGGTGGTTTCTGTTGACTTCAATTGAAGTCTTAGGTGAGTGATAGTATGAAGGGGGGTGCTAAGAGGAAACATATAACGAGGAAGTGTTCCAGGCGGAAGTTTACCAGGACGAAGCGCGTAGATTATCTGTAGAAGCATGGGTTGTTTTCTTTCTCTTCTCCTACTACTGCCTAACTAACACTAACTAAGCACAGGCTGCAGTGATTCACCGTCGAGTGACACTGTCACTGCAGTTACATGCCAGTTGCCGACAGCTGCCAAACTTCCTTTTTACCTCAACCATGCAATCAGATTCTTCTTCCATTTCTCTTTAACCTTCTTTCTCTCTCAGAGCTAGAGGCTTCTTAGCAACCCTCCCTCTCTCCAACGCTCCGTCTCGCAGTATGCACTGAGTACCGAAACCATGGCTCCCAATAATGCTGCCTTAGAGGCCCAGTACGATGCCCTTTTCGGAGACCTCCACGCCAGCGTGGAGCGAATGCGACTTCCGTTAACACAACGCGATCGAATCCGCGACCGATCCCCGTTCCTATGGCTCACTCCTCTCAGGTCTGGCCTCACTATGCTGGACAAGGAGAAGGAGGAGCAGCGAGGCGATTCGAGTCACCCACCTGCGAAACGCCAGCTTGCCGCCCTCATGGACGACAACAAGCGTATGAGGCTTGACACGACTGAGGATTCAACAGTCCCACATGTCAGGCTCAATGGGAAGGAGGTCAATCTCTTCACTTTGCTAGCAGGAGATGAACTTAACCAACACCGGGTAAGTGTCGCTAACCATTTCGCTTGGTTAAGCAGTCATTGCTTGTCATGCATTGTCCGCTCTGAGCCGACTAACATGTCATACATAGGAACGACTCACAGACACAGAGCTCGAAACAGAACCCGTCCTTGGACTCAAGTCAGTCCTGAAGCCGTGGCAACAAACTGGGCAACAGAAACTCCAAATCCTTGCAAAGTCTGTCTTTCAGGGCGGGTTTCTTTGCGACTCAGTGGGCTTGGGCAAGTCTCTTACCTCCTTGATTGCAGCTTTGAAGCTCCGAGCCGAACTGCTTCCCAAGTGTGGTTTTATTCTGGTTGTCTGTAGACCCAGTTGCGTGGCACAGTGGTTTGATGAGATCAGAACGCACTTTGATGAGGTACGTAATTCTAACTATAAATACTCGGCCTACTAACTAACCAATAATAACATTTAGGGCTCTCGACCATCCTGCATCATCCTTGATAGCCATGATATCCCAGTCACAGCCCTCTTGGAATATGACATCGTTATATGCAGCAGCGGCTTTGTTAAAAAGCTACATGAGAACTGGATGGGATATACCAACTTCATTCATTGCATCCACGGTATGGGCCTTAAGACAGCATTGGCCACCTTTGGTCGACGGCTGGAGCGACCATCTCTACCACTACATTCAGTTCTGTACAAGGAGCTGGGAAAGGAGATTCCTGTGTTGATCTTGGACGAAAGCCACGATGCCAAGAATGAAGCTGGCTTGCTCAACCAAGCCATCCGATCGCTACAGTACCGCCACATCTTCCTGCTGACTGGGACTCCCATACCCAATACATGGCGAGACCTCGCTGGACAAACCAGGCTACTCCCAGGTGGCGGGTTATTCAAAAGTTCAGAGCACTTCCTCGAGGTTTTTCAAGGCAGTACTCAAGGTCAACCATCGGACGCCAGGCGGAAGCTATACACAGCTCTTTACCAATGCCTGATTGTGGGTAGGCCGAAATCGCTGTTGCAGTTGCCCCCTCCACAGGAGCACATGGTTCCAGTCCATCTGGAGGATCGTGTGACCATATTGTACATCGACTATCTAACTGCCCGTCACAAAAGATACTTGCGAGACAGCAGGAGGCCCGGAGCGCATGATGAAAATGCAAGAATGCTTTTTCAGAAAGCCATGGCACTGGGGATGCAGGCCCAGAGGTTGGCTGGCTGCACCATTCTCCTCACGGCGACTGACATTGGGGCCGAACATCACGATCCGCATGCGAAGATTTTGCCCACAATCGAAGAGGCTTTTGAGGCGTACAAACGCTCTACAAAACTCATCCACCCCAACACCAAGCTCGACGAGATGGAAGACGAGGAATTTGAGTACTTCAGAGCGTTCTTTGAAGACTTAAGCACGAGTCCTGCATCATCCGCTCCGCAACATGGAAGCCAGCCCGGTAGCGATGAGGAAGGTCAAGCGATTGAGGAAGCCGCTTTGTTAAATCATGAAACGGACACACAACCACGGTACTCCGATCCCAACTTTGAGTATCATGACGATGCCCAGGATGCCGATTGGCAGCCTCAAGATCATGTAGCAGGTTTTGAAACAGAAGAAGAAGACGATGGCGGTGACGCCGGAGCAGCGGACAGTGCAGAACACTCAGGGAACAAGCCACAACGCGAGAAACGAGCCAATCCAAAGTTCATCGAACGGTGGCTTGGAAGACTGGAGACTGAGCCAGATACGAAGATCTTCGAACCTCGAGTCCGGGCGATCATCAACACCATAAAACAGATCCGTCAAAGGTCCCAAGATGACAAGGTCATCGTCGTTTCGGGAATGGTGATGATGCTTGACGTGGTGCATGAAGGCCTGCGTCGAGAAGCCCGAGTCAACCCCAGTATGAAATTCGACATTGGCGAATTTAATGGGACGACGAAGCCTGAACGGAGAACCGAGGTTATCCGAGAGTTTAACCGCCAAAACAGCCTCATGCGAGTGCTGTTGCTAAGTGCCGTTGCTGGAGGTACGGGATTGAACCTTGCTGGCGGGTGCCATGTGATCCTATGCGAGCCTTGGTGGACGCCAGGTCTCGTAGAACAGGTCATTGGCAGGGCAAACCGGATGCCCCAACAGAAACAGGTGCAGGTCTACAAGGTAACCGCGGCGATGTCAAGCATTGATACGCTGATACAAGAGAAATTGGCCAAGAAGCAGGAGTTCATCGACCAGACTGTTCCGTTCTTTATTCGCCATGACGCGACTCCCTGCATCCCCCTTGCGCTGCCCAGTCAGGAAGATTTGGATTCGGAGGTTAGGAAGGAAACAGAGTAAGGGGTTTGGGGATGGCCTTGTGGTGGAAATGGATGATATCTTGGGGATGGGATGGATATGGTTTAAGGGGTTCATTTGGCGAGATGTCTCATATCCTAGGCCTCTATTGCTCTATGTACATTTTGGGGATCATCAATGAGGAGCGCAGAGTGCACTGCCTCCCAAACAAGTCATTATTAGAAGGTCAGTACAGCCTGCTAGTCCCAAATGAAGATGTTCCCAAATGTCAACCTGTGAGAACAGTCCTTTTGGAGTCGCTGGCCCGCTGGAGAACCTCACATTGGAGGCCAGTCCGAGTCAGTTTGTTGGAGATTTTGTATAATAGCCCGCAGCTCCGAAGAATCATCTTGACCACGTTGTCTTTGTGGAAGCACAAGGGTGAATGGCCGATCATGTATGCAGCTCAGCGTAGAGTTACACAAGGTTCAAACAATCGACATGGATGGAAAGCAATCACCAAGAACTGCTTCATGAGAACCGGCATGAATCCTATTGTATCTGATTGGTCAAGGGGAGTTGGGGACATCATCACACACACTTGACACGTCGTCACGTCCCTGAACGATCCATGGATGAAATGGCATGGATGGAACATTTAGGCGGCGACAGCGCTAATCCCAGTCTGTACTTGAACAGACCCACTACAGGTAGAACCACTTCCGGAGCTCTTGGGTGATGGCCTTGGCGCAGAGCCACCTCATCCCTCCCCCAATCGCCCAGCCAAAGCCAGAGCCAGAACGAGCCCAGCCCAGCCCAGTCCGCCAGCCCCATTCAACGTCATCCTATCCCATTCATATCCGCCGACACCGCCGCCGCGACGCCTTTTCGCCCTCCATCGACTCCGCCTGTGAATGGCGTAGAATGGCTGCTACCGTCTACATCGCACTCTCTTGATCCCTCTGATGCACTGATTCAACCATCGCCTCGCTACATTCTTAACGTCTGGAGCTTGCCACGACCCGACCTCTTTCTCCAGGCTCCAGCATAAAGACACCTCAGCTTGCGAAACACTGCACGTCTCCAGCTGTCTGCGCGATTGCAGAGACAAACAGTCGCCATGTGGAACGACGAAGACAACAATCCATACGGCACTAGCTTTGACCGCCGGGATTCGCAATCGTCGTCTGTCAACCCGGCTTCCCCGACCACTCGTGATTGTGAGTATCTTCATACCCGTATCTCCTGCGCTGTCGCCTGTGACACAAGATGGGATATATCGTTCTCGTGGATGGGGAGAGCATGACTGACGCGTACATCGTGGTAGACCATAATTTCGAGCCTCCCCACACGCCAACTTCTGGCAGCGACGACGAGCAACATGGCCAATTTACCCATGGGGGAGCTCAACCCGATAGTGACGAAGAGGTCTCGAGGGATGATGCCGGACCCCGGCGCAAGCCTGGCGGCTACGACAGTCGAATCGAGCAGATCCTCTACGAGAACCCTGACCAGTCTATCTTGATCACCGAAGCAGGCAAGAGCCTTGAGAGTGGTGGCAGGTATATCGTATATACTATTCGCACCGGCGTATGCTCCCACTTGATCCGCTCCCGCGCACCGCTTTTGCTAACTTTCACTTCAAGGACCTGGAAGTGCGACGTCGATATTCGGAATTCGCCTCCCTGCGCGATGCCTTGACTCGTCTACATCCTACCCTCATTGTCCCCCCCATCCCCGAGAAGCACACAATGGCCGACTATGCCGCGAACCCAACAAATGCGAAGCAAGACCAGCAGATTATCGATCTGCGAAAGCGCATGCTTGCGGTCTTCCTGAACCGTTGCCGCCGGATGGACGCCATTAGAACTGACGGAGTCTGGTGGAGATTCCTCGATCCTAACGCCAGCTGGGTATGTTGAGGCCTCCATCGCTCGGCCATCGTTACTAACATTAGAGCAGAATGAGGTTTTGCACTCACATCCCGTAGCATCCATCCCCAAGTCAGTCCTAAAGGCGCCCCCGCTCGATACTGCGAACCCAACTGCCGCCCATAACTTTCTACCCGTTCCAGCGGCATCGGCAAAGCTCAAGACGGTGGCTGGCGCCAACCACGACAACAGCTCTGGCCATATTCAAGCGGGACCTCATGCTTTTGGTCGATTCCCGCCTGAGGCGCATAACCTGAGCGAGCAGGAGCTGGACCCCTACTTCATCTCATATGAGTCGTCGATCAAAGAGCTCGAGCAGCTCCTAACTGGCCCCATGGAGAAGGTCAATCGTCGAACCCTAAGCCATCTTTCATCACTAGCAGCCGATCTTTGCGAGCTCGGGTCCGTTTACAATGCATTCGCCGTTTCGGAGCAGGCTCCGTCTCTTGGACCAGCCATCGAGCGAGTTGGTCAGGCCGCTGACCTCTCGTACATTGCGACAGAGGAGCTTTCAGGGTCTCTCGGCGCCAGCTTTGCAGAGCCGATGCGAGAGAATGCGCAGTTTGCGGGTGTCGTCCGGAGTGTGTTGAAATATCGCGTGCTCAAGCGCGTCCAGCAGGATCTTACCACCGAGGAGTTGAACAAGAAGAGGGCACTGCTTGACCAGCTAGAGCGGAGCGAAGCCGAGGCCCGACGAATTGAAAACTACCTATCGAGCAGCCAGCAAATCTCTCCACCGCCAAAGCGATCGACGAGTCTTAAGGAGCCCGCCTCTTACCAGCGACGAGATGGTGGCCAAGAAGACACAGAGTCTATCGATTCCGACTTTCCTCCAACTCACGGCGATTTCCCATCATCTGCACCCTCGGCAAGTCAGGGGCTGCCAGAGAGGAGCACCAGTGTGCCTTCTCACAAGAAGATGCCGAGCGGGAACTCAATAACGAACAAGATCTTTGGGCCCATCCGCCACGCAGTTCAGGGAGTTGTCGACGTCGACCCGGAGCGAACACGACGCGATTTGATCGGCAAGACAAGGGAGAGCATTGGTCAATTAGAGCAGGCTCAAGTTGCTTCGGAGCGCGATGTCAAGGAGGCCAGCGCTAGTGTTTTGCAAGACCTTAAGCGGTTCCAGAAGGACAAAGAGGAGGATTTGCGGCGGTACATGGTAAGTTTTATCTGCATATGAAGCAAGATAGAGACAAGAACTGACGCTCAATAGCTCGCTTATGCGCAAAGCCAGATCGAATGGGCAAAGAAGAGCAAGCAGCAATGGGAAGAAGCTCGGGCAGAGGTGGAGAAGATCGAGGAGTCATGAGGAGATTGCCTCGTTATTGATAGTCGATGGAATAGCTTCAAAGGTGTCAAGAATGGGAGGAGGCAAAAGGACCTCGGACTAATTCGCGTGGACGATTCTTTTCACGATGGCGTTTATCAGGGGGTGTTGCGTGTAACGTAGACGGCTCTTGACCTTGAACAGGGCCCAACAGGTCGCCATTGGGCGGGCCATCTTGGGTAGAGCTGCATTCTATTGCCACATCCAGCAAGAGTTGTGTTGAGAGAACCTCAGTATTTCCTAGTTGGCGTTGAGAGATGGTGATCGGTTGAAGTGCTATCCATGGGTATTCCGATGACCAACCGCAAGAAGGACTATTCTGACCCAGGACAACATTGCGCAACTTCGAACTAACAAAACAACACAGGCTTCATTTGACTCTAGGCTATAGCAGCATCTCTAGGTGACCTTTGAAGTGATTGATGGTCTGTGGTCTACAGCCAGCAGCTCATGTGGATCCCAAAGGAGGCCTTGAATGCACCTCTAGAGGTGGGGAGCTACCTCCACGTGGCAGGCCAATGAGGGGCCGGCCCTTATCGATAGAAACACTCTGGTTTGCGACTCAGTTGCCTGCCAGTCGCAAGCTCATCATCATGTTGAACCCTCCATTAACAAAGACTCTTGACCATAAAAACACGTCTCTTAAGCGCCGCCCTTGAACAGTACTCGAAATCACGATACAATTCCACTCACATCACACATGGATATCATCGAAATCACGCTCAACTCAACATGAATCAACAAGATGGACCCATCACCTCCATCGCCGAGCCCGGCATCAAGGCCACCTTTGAGATGCGCAAAGAGCTGCGAAGCAAAGTCTCGGCCTTGTTGGAGAGAAACTCGATGAGCTTTCCGGGCGCGCAACCTGTGAGCTTTGCCAGACAGCATCTAGACGAACTCACCAGACAAGAGTGAGCACCCAACTCTAAAGCTGGGCCGAGACGCGCCTCACGACGGTTACTGACCCAGTGGCGTTTAGTTACTACGTCTGCGAAAAGTCGGACGGCATCCGATATCTCCTCTACTCACACATTGATAACAACAATCAAGAGGCGCACTATCTGATCGATCGCAAGAACGACTACTGGTTCATCCCCAACCGAAATCTTCACTTCCCCCTCGAGAACGACCAAAGCGCATTCCACACTTCTACACTGGTCGATGGCGAGCTGGTCTGGGACAGTCTTCCTAGCGGAAAGAAGGAGCCCAGATTCCTCGTCTTTGACTGCCTGGCCATGGATGGGAACAAGCTTATGGATCGAACCCTCGACAAACGGCTGGCCTACTTCAAAGAGCGACTATACACGCCTTACAAAAGGTTGTTTCAGGACTTTCCCGATGAGCTCCAGTTTCAGCCCTTCTACGTCGAGATGAAGCCCTTCCAGCTGGCCTACGGAATCGAGATGATGTTCAAGCAGGTCTTGCCCAGCCTCAAGCACGGAAACGATGGCCTCATCTTTACCTGCCGCAACACACCTTACAAGAACGGCACCGACCCTCACATCCTCAAGTGGAAGCCCCCAGAGGAGAACACGGTCGACTTTCGTCTGCGTCTGACGTTTCCCCTGGTGGAGCCTGATGAGGAGGAGCGCAGCGAGGGCATCACCGAGCCGTTTATCGACTACGACAGCGTCCCCAAGTCTGACCTATGGGTCTACCTCGGCGACAGCGGAGAACGATATGAGCGCTTCGCCCCGGTGTACATCACCGAAGAAGAGTGGGAAATTCTCAAGAGCCTGGGTGACCCTCTGAACAACCGAGTCGTCGAGTGCAACCTCGATGACCAAGGACGGTGGCGCATCGTTCGCTTCCGTGATGACAAGAGCGAAGCCAATCACACAAGTACGGTTAAGAGCGTCTTGGAGAGCATCAACGATCGCGTCACGGAGCAAGACCTGTACAAGGCTGCAGGCCGGATACGGGACAATTGGAAGGCCCGCGCCGCTCGGGAATCCCGATGAGGCATCAAAAACGACTCGAGAAGCGCAAGGCTCGCTGGTGACCTCAATGAGAGCTTGCATCAGGCCAATCTGCATTCCTCTAGAGTATTGGATTTTGGAGGTAGGGAACCGGGCACCTAAGATGTTTGGTCGAGAGAGCAGAGTGATAGGGATGGCGTCCGCAAATGTTGGTTTTCAAGGCTAGGGCGAGGCGTTGGACAAGGTAATTGGGATAGGGACTAGTATTGTTTCATCGATTCCGCATTGTGTTTCCAATACAAATCGAATTTACATTTCTCATCTTTGCTTTGCTTTGCTGCAATGTCATCGATCATGCTACACTAGGATGATGTTCAAATGCCACATTCACTTCACTTTGAGAACTTGATGGGATGGGACATGGTCAAAGTGATGCCGCATTATTTAGACTTGATAAAATCTATACCTAGCACCCAGCCTCCTCTCATTACCTAGGTATGCGGCGTAGAACAAGCCAAAAACGAACCGACAGATCCCCTGATTTTAATTTCCAGCTTCGATGCCAAATCCGACCGATGAAACTCCAAAATCCTAGAGTGATCCATCCCCTTTTACATTCATACAAGTGTCGTTTCCGCCATGGCGCACCAGTTGCGAGGCTAACCCAGCAACAAACACCTCGGGAGAGTCTAGAGGAAGAACATGATGGTCGCAATCAGCATGATGGCACAGCCCAGGTTGGAAGTGCCGTTGCTGCCACCGAAGCCACGCGGCTCGGGCTTCTTGGTCGCACCCGAGACGATGACGGGCGTGACAGCGGTAGGAATGACGGTGACAGTGCCAGAAGGACCAGCCACCATGGTGTTGTTGGCGGTGGGGTAGGGAGGCATTTGAACCTGGACCGTCTTGGTAGAGGTGGAAGCCTCGCCGCTTGTCTCGAAAACGACCTCAGTGAAGGTGCTTGTGGGGGAGATAAAGGAGACGGCAGGGGATTCCTGGATGAGATCCGTGACAGTGATTGTGACAATCGACTTGTGAGTAGTGAGAGTCTTCTGAACCGTGGTCAGCTCTGTAACTGTGCTCATATCCTCCGCGGGAGGGAAGAGGTCCGTGACAGTGATGACAGTGTGGAAGCTTCCAGTGACAGAGAAGCTCGGGTCGACCTGAGTGACGGTGGAGGGTTCGCCCGAGACGGTAGCATCGGGGAGGCCACTGGTGAGGGACCAGTTGGTCTGGACATCAGCCACAGTAGAGGGGTTACCCGACACTGTGGCATCAGGAAGACCAGGGGAGACAGAGAAATCAGTCTCAACGTTGGTGACGGTGTCAGGGCTTCCAGAAACTGTAGCATCAGGGAGGCCGCTGGTGAAGGAAAGCTCAGTCTGGACGTCGGTGACGGTGGAGGGGTCGCCGATCACGGTCGCCTCAGGGAGGGCAGCAGACGTGGCCGTGAAGTCCTCACTGGGAATAGGAATCACAGTGACAGTGAAGCTCTCAGTCATGGTGACGACCTCGATCTCGCAAACCTCGGCGGAGCTCTCGATGGTGGCAACAGAGATGGAGACATGGACCTCCTCAGGGACGGTAACATAGGTGGTGCCAGTGACAGTCTCAACCTTGGTAAAGACGTTGGGGGCGCGGCTGGTGGCGTAGAGAGTGGAGAGTTCAGTCTTGGTCTCGGTCATTGTCCTAGATTCGACGTTAGAGCTGAGTGATGTCCAAGTGTTGGAGTGTCTGCTGCTTACGAAATGGGGTACACGGTACCATCACCATCATCACGACGAACAACGACGTGCTCGTCTCCATGGGCCTTAGCCTCAGCCATCAGCGCGCCATCATACGCTCGAATCTCCTGCTGGGCTATTTTTACGTCAGTGATCTCTATCAATGGGAGTGTTGAGGGCGAGAGGACTCACTGTAGTGGGAGGCGAGAACACCCATACCAAACATGACCGCGAGGAGGCAAACAAGAAGAACGAAGCCAACGAGAAGCTTCTTGACGGGGAGAAGACCATTGAGCTTGTCGAATTTGGACACTCGGGGAGTCTCCTCGCCCTTCTCGGTATCGATAACAGTTGCCACTGGGCAAGGGGTCAGTTGGAGCGAGCGCAAGAGATGAGAACGACGACATACTTGGATCGGTGCGATAGCTGAATACAGGTGGTAACGAGCGTTACTGCTGCGACGGTCAGAAAGGTATTTCCGCTCATTTCATGACGTGCCGTGATGTTTTCTTGGTGTGCCTGCGATGTTTCTCTGGGCGGGCAGCCCCGAGGCGCAGACGGAGGAGATGAGGATGATCAAGAGGTAGGAAAGCGCAGATGAGCACATACCTATTGGCTAGAAAGCATGAAGCGTCTGTTGGCTTAAAGATCAGCGAGGATCAGGCGTTGGAGTAACGAGGGCGGTGGTGAAGCGAGGTGAAAATGAGCGATGGAGGAAGGAAAGAAATAGAGCGAGGGAAGGAGCTGTGGTGGTGATTCAAGTGCAGATAAACAAAGGCGATGGGCGTTTGCTCAGGCAACAAGGAAAATAATGAAAGATTAGGGCAGTGATTCATCGAGAGGGCTATAAATAAGGGCAAGAGCTGGAAAATATTGCTGTCGGCCGGTTGGCAGCTGGCGGCCAGTGTCAGGGCCGGCAGATGTGAGCCAGATGTTGAGGGGCATCGTCGCCGTAGACGGGTGCCCCAAAAGAGGGGCAAATAAAGGGAAGTATAGGTTCCTGTAAATACTCTTGATGCTAGAGGCTCAGATCGATAGAGATTCGAGGGTCTAGGGCGAGATAAATATGAGAACCCGGACTTACACTGGATGCTATTGCAGTCAATGTGGTAAGTTCTCGTCGTCACTTGGCAGCAACAGCTTATCAACCGACGACAGGGAGATAAAGTGAACGACTAGAGTCAAGATACCGTAAATGGAAGAGGAGGAAACGGGAGAAATACGTGCTCTCTTCAAGAGGAGGAACGGTTCAACTTGTACTTGGCGGCCAGTCAGCCAGGACACTCCAGCAGACCAGACAAACGCAACACCATATACCACCTCCACCGACGGGAAATGTCCCCTTTCATAGGCGAGCACAAGGCAGATGCAGCACATGGCTCCGTCCTTTCCATCTCGGGGCAGAGAAATGATTCGACCGACGGCAAACGACGCGGCCAAACTTGTGCCACAAGAGATCTTGTCCCAAATTGCGCCTCCCATGCCGAAACTGTCGGAGGGGGAGGGAGAAAGTTCCAGGGCCGAGTTACAGAAAGGAGAGGCTGTGTGTCCGTGTCGGCCGGCGGTGAAATGAGGCAAACATGATCTTGGTGGTACGTCAACGGTCGTGATGGGACGAGTCGAGTATCACCATGTCTCCACGACACATGTATCTGTTGTGTATGTGCGTGTCTCCGTGGTCATTGATACTCAGGAGAAGCAGCTTGAAGATTGCTAGGTCGAGGAGGGAGTTCTCTTGGATGTGCAAAGTATGACTGGCTCCTTTTGCACATCAAGTGGCCTCCCAGGTCCGCAATGTTGGCTACATTGGGTGCTTTACTCTTGGATGAACGGTTACGTTGGCTTTGTCACCCATTCATCGACAAGATGGTTTATTGTAGTTTGAGGGTCCAATGTCAACGCCACCTGCAGAATGACACTTGGTGGTTGATACTTGCATTGGCAGTTGTCATCTCGATGCAGCGAATCTCGGCACTCAACGTTGTTAGTTGCATTGCAGCTATGTTTGACATGCAGCCAAATGCACATATATAAAAACGGCACCTTAAAATTAAAGGATTAAAAGACACCAAATGTTGCCAGATAGCGGCCCAAGCCTGGTCCTTTCCTCGTCGCAATGCATCAGCGTTTTGGTGGGCGACTGTCACAGATAAATGACCGACGTCCAAGTATTCGGAGAATGCAACTAGCCACTGTTTCAGGTAAAGGCTTGAAGCGAGTATTCTCGAATCCTTCCAGATGCCATTTACAAAGGGTGCATATTGACTGACCCAGGAATGACGTGGATGATGGCCAGTTGAGAGATGAGAACAGCTCTTGATAAGGTTGACATGCAATTATCCAACAAATGGATCAGCTCGACAAAGGACCTTGTTGGCGGGATCCACTAAAAATGCGCCAGCATGCCCAGGACAGCTCCAGGCGGCAAACGGGAACGGGAGCTGGTCCGCGCCATTAGCCGTAGCTGCATTTGGGCGCTGCTGCTAAGGTCAGGTCGCGCGTCGCGCACGGGCGTCCACGGGTGCTGCCATGCGTGCACCTGGTTTTGCGCGGCGTATACTAAACTACCACGCGCACGTAGGAACAACCCAGAGGAGAGTAGAGTAACAGGAGGCAATGCGACTGCAGATAGGCCCGCGCTTCAACCATTTTATCTACCTAGCTTTCCGTGACCTAAGAGATCACAGCCGTAACATATCTAGCCTAGGTTAAAACATAGCAACATGAGTCCCCTCCATATGACTGGCCCTGACTGCTTGAATGATCCCAATGCACAATGCGCTTATCATGAAGTCGTGACGTCGTCTGGGTGGATTTGTTGACTACCTCGCAGAATAGAACCAGGTCCGTTCACATCAGCCCACGGGGGAATGCAGATGAGTGCTTTGTCCCAACCAGCGTCTCGCGGCGGACTAGCATTGGACCTGAGCTTGATCTTGTGCCAATGTGATAGATGGGAAAGTTGTCAAAGATGACGAGCTGTTCCAGCCGAGGAGCATGTTCGAACATGAGACGAATCAAGGTGGAATACCAGTCATCAACCTCCTCTTCGGAAATTTCACGAGGACCCTCTTCAACAAAGGCTGCAGCGAAGTCTTTGCGAATGACTCTGCCATGGAACCGCGTTCGTCGGAGATCAAAGGCGAGTCTTTTGAGTCTAGAAGACTGTACTCTCTGGGCCAGAGTCTCTGCCTTGGAGAGCTAGGTACGGTTAGCTAAATTCACATGGAGCGGATACAGCGCCAGGCACCGCTGGCAGGATGAGAAAATACGTACAATCCCTCGACGATCTCTCGAAACGCCTCTGATGGTGTATGGCTTTTCAGACAGGATGAGCCACTGGAGATAAGGGAAATCTTCGATGATGCTGTCGAGCACATCTACGTCGAAGGTAGGTGTGCATTTGTGGTATGCTGACTTTGGGTGGTCGTGGTACAAATGCAACTTGTGGAGTTGGCGTGAAGGGGGATTATGCGGATCATCTCCCGTCCGATCTCTGTACTTTCTCTTTACCGCGTCATACTCGCGAGAGCCATACCACTTATACAGGTGTATGGCTTTGAGGACCTTGGCGTCACAGTGGTCCAAAACGGCCGAGAAGACTCCTGGCGGGAGATTGTAGTTGTCTTCCCACGGTTGTGGCGGGGGAAGGCGGACGCCTACCGGCCGGATGTCGATCGCTGGGGGGCCGTCAACGGAGGGGGCATTCAGCCTGAGTGTGTGTATGATGTCCCATCTTCTCGTCGGTCCCAGTTGCACACTGAACGAGAGAGATTGCTGGGCAGAGAATCCCTCGAGATCCAAGGTGAGGTTTTGGAGGGCAGTCATTCGAGTTAGCGCATCGACGATTCGCGAGACCAGATGTTCGTCCTCTTCATCGTTGGCAAGAGGATAATCTCCCGCCATCGACGAGTCCAGGTGAGTATACCTCAGATTGATGGTAGCAACACTGGATAGATTATTAGCAATGTCGCATCCTGCGCGATGAAACAAGACCTACCGAATATGCTGGCGGATTTGATTCATGTTGGTATTCGTCTTGAGAAGCAGAAACGCTCTGAGCTTGCAAGAAAGGTATCCTTGCGTGTCATCGAAGCGGATTTCTTCGAAGTTGCTCTGCGCAAAAGCATCGTAATACCTCTTGGAGGCTCGTGTGAGGCTATCTAGAGAAGCGCCATCAGTGAAGCCTGCGATCGCATTATAGCAATCCTGTGGGAGCTCGTGGAAAGTGAGTTTGCGCTTTGCCATGGCGTAGCATGTGCGATGCCGAGTGTAAGGTTGATAGAAGGCAAAGAGAAGAGTGATGTTGAGGCGCCTCTTTTTTTTTTTTTGGCAGAGGAAAAGGCAGCCAGTTGTTGACAGTGAATCATTGCCACTCACTGCATAACGAGTCAACACACATCACAAGCATTGACCACCGCCTATTTTCATAGAGAAAATGTACGTTCAGAGAGCATGTGTAAACATTGCCACGGTGTTTGATCACATGTGTAATATTTGGACAATGCATCACCATTTGCCTTCCACTCCTCATTCTTCTAGTCGTTAAGTGACTCTCTCCCCCTCCCTTCTACGCTCTGTGTCGCATTATCCATTCGTGAGACGTCATCCAAAACATCACCAGCGACTCAAGTCACGGGTTGCCTGTACCTCACACAACCTCATTCGACTCTCTACATATATCTCATATGTTTACGCGATGCCGCCTGTCTGGGGAAAAAAGTACTTGATGGAGCTAGGGCTTGAGTCCTGGGAACAACTCGAGAAGCTCGCTAAGCAGAAACTTAAGCAAGATGATAGGGATTGGGAGGCAAAAGTGGCTCACGAATTGAGCCAAGAATCAACGCAAGAAGCTACAACACAACGCCATGTAGCGGTAAGTTAACTCTGGCAGGTATCACGAATGATTCTTATCTAATGCTTACCTTTAGCGACGAAAAGCCAAGGGAAAGGTAATCAGCTACAATGAGGAGATACCTACTCCCCCTCGCCCTAGGAGAATCATCAAGATCAAGGTAGGTATCCTTCTTAGCTTACAATTGCATTATGCACTCTAACACTACCTCCCTACATAGGTTCCAAAGAGATCTCACAATGAGGCCCAGCAAGAACACCACCAAGCTCCTGGACCAGCCAGCGCCGGTGACGAGCAAGATTCCGATGGCATGTCTGTACGTTCTATTGACGACGAACTACCCAATGCCGAGGATCTCGAGTTTCTTGACGACGAGGGCAACGAACCTGAGCCTACAGGATCTGAAGCCTCTTTCGCATCCGGCTCTGAAGATATCCCAATGTCCGACACGTCTGACTCCGACACCTCCTCTCCAGAAGCCACTCCCGACAGAGACCTTGGCATCGATTTAGACTCCGATTAAGACATCATGATGGCCCCCGTCAGGAACCCCTTTTCTGCCCACCTAAGTAGGTAGGTAGACCAAATATGCTGCAAGCGCACCTTCCTTTCGTAATGCTGCTTCCCGTGACCTGGCCCTGTCGATGTCTTCAGCGCAGTCAGCGCGCTGAGCCGGTTCACTCCTTCCCGTCCTCATTTCTCCTGTGGGAGGAAGGTGCTCCCAGGCACCTGTCCGACAAAGGTCTTCACAATGTCTTCTCTGCGTCTACTCCTCCATTTGTCCCTCTGGTTTTTGTTTTGAGAAGAGTCTCATCTCTCCAACACACTTCCAGGAGGTCATTCGTACTCCATGCATGATACGATGGATTCTGACTACAACTCCTCCGACCTGGAGCCCGATGAGCCCGCCCCAGATCCCTTCGCTACCGCGGGCCAAGCATCTCTGGATTCCATGCTTCGCTCCGCGCAGGAAGATCGAAAGACATCTAAGCTCAAGAAGAAGTCATTGACTCTGCAGTCCGGCGCGCCCAGTACGGCTGTCATTCAGACACTATGGCAGAGAAGATTCGAATTCTTTCGTGAAAACACTCTTCGTAACAGGTACGTTAACTCCTCTGATCACTGTCGCATAATGCACATCTGACACTATACCCCTAGGGCCCAACAAGTTCCAAACATTGATGACCTTGAGCGTTTTATTACGACTATACCTCATCACATGAAGTCCATCAACCCCAACAAGAGCGCCATCGCGTACAGCACCATGACCAGCGCACTCCTCTGTATCGTCAAATACTCTGTATTCACGTACCCTTCATTTCGTCTCGATGCCCATGGTCGGTCTAGACTTGGTATGTCCCCTTGTTAGACAAATGCGTTCAAACACTAACGGAGTATTCGCATAGACTCTGCCTTGAAACAGATGCTTAAAGATGGGATTCTCACCAAGGAGCGGGGTCGCAGCGAGAAGATGTGGATCACATGGGACATCATACGCAAAATGAATGTTGCCCTCCTGTGTGATTCGATTCAGAATGGCGCCTTCTCCTGGGACAGTACCATCTACAGTGTGCTCTTTCTTTCTCTGCAGTCTGCGCTGGGCTGCCGAGTAGGTGAAATCATGCGGTCGAAGTGTTATGACAATACAGCTTGCCTTCTGTACAAGGACATCAAGATCAAAATGGTGAAGGACGGCGGTCAGGACAGGCTTCGGGCTCTTATCACGCTGAGAGCTTTGAAGGGATACAAGTAAGTTCCCAATATCTGACTGATAGCGAGCTGTGTTGATTAGTTTTGCGCCAGACTCGACCCCCAGAAGAATCAGATTGTCGAGATTGCCGAAGTCATGGATCCAAACCTTAACGTCTGCTGTGTCATCAAGCTCCTGATGATTTGGGCCATGCGTATCGGCGCTGTTTCACATTCGAGCTGGGAAGATCTCATCGACGCTCTCCGAAGAACCCCATCCTCCACTCTGTCCTGGACCCGTCCTGATTTTCCAGTCTTCTGTGCGAAGGAGAGCGGGGGCGTCAAACAATTCGATTGGGAAAAACCTGCTGGCACCAATGTGGGCCAACTGATCCTATCTCACGGCGCCCAGCGGATGGGACTTCTTGCTCAGCCCGTCACTCATGATATTCGCAGAGGATCTGCAAGAGAAGCTGCCCATTTGCCATCGCTGCCCGGCACCAACATGGAAAATGCTCGGCTTATTCTCCAGCACTCTGCAAGTTCCAAAGACCGTGGAATCACGCAAGAATATGTTGGCCACGTCGGTACAGATGTCTGGGGGGCGCGACTTCAAACATCCCCCAATACGTTGCCTGGCGCGGGAATCCAACTTGACGTTGCCATTGAAGGATACAAGAAGACTACGAGACGCTCAGCTGCTGCTATCGAAGAAGTTTGTGCTCGTCACTCGCTCGATCCCACAACCAACTCTGGCAGACGGGCGGCTTCCAAGCGCGCTGCTAACGATGACTGGAGTAATTGGATCGCCGACAAAAGAGCCCGTCACGACGAGCCCATCTCATCTTCTCACCCCGAGGATTCGCATTTGGTGGTGCAAGAGAACCCTGTCGAGAAGCAGGCATCTGACCACAATATCAACGGCAGTCTGGCTGCCGAGAGTGAGGAGCGGATAAAGCACCAGCAACCCGTTCAGCCGTGCCCCTCGCTCTCTACCGACTCGCTAGAGGATATTCTAGATGACGATACGCCGATTGACCCAGCCCTTCGGAGCCTTCATGACGCACTCTTCGATGCGGATATCCCAGCCAACGAGAAGCTCCTTGCGCACGTCTCTTTGTCAAATCCTGCAGATGATACCCTGCCAGCCAATTGCAGCACCATCGTGTCCGATTCTGCGACCTTTGTCAGATTCTTCTCCCGTATCAACGTCATGAAGGTCGACCCACGAAGCTTCGAGAATTATAGCCAGCGTCGCTCCTTTACAGGCCACACTTCCCGTGACGAAGCATCCCAGTTTCGGTATTCTTGCCCTAATGCCCATCTTGGGTGTGACAAGACATTCAAATTCTCTTTTCATGCCGCTGCGCACTATGCGACATGTACCATCACATCAGTTCAAGCATCTCTCGCTAAAAAAGCTTTGCAGACTTTCGCCTGTTCTGAATGCGGTACTACCTTCAAGGATCAGAAGCATTTACGCAGCCACATGAACAATCAGCACTTCTTTGTCCCAAGGAAATGTGGACGCGACGGCTGCACTTCTCAGGAGATTTTCAACTCAAAACGTGCTCTAGACAATCACGCTATAGAAACCCACACCTATAGCAACTGGCCTACGCGTACCTGCCCTGTGGTAACCTGTGAAAAAGCATCATATACTTTTCAAACGCCATGGAGCCTGAAGAAACATCTAAGAAAACTCCACGGTTTCTCTGATTCACAAGTTGCCCAGTACATGCCACCTCGGATTCCTCGAGATGCACCTTTCTTGCCTCAGCGGTGCTCACACCCCGACTGTACGTACCCTGTCATTTTCAACTCGCGGGCAAAGTATCGAGAACACGCAGTAAACGAACACGGTGCCTACGGAGAGTATTATCTGCTCCTGGAGCAGAATTGACTCCCATAACTCGTGCTTTGGCAGGAACAGAATCGGATGGATTTTTTGTCACCAAGTACATGTTTAATATGTCATGTAGGGCCGGCCCAGTTACACATTTTGGGACTCTCCGGATGGAGCGGATCATGCAATACGTAGCCACCTAGAGTAACTCAACCTCTGGCAATCTAATCATTTTATCTTACAAACTCACCACATCTAATCTTGGACGTATTCGAGAGAGCATTAGTCCACCATGAAAGGGAGGGAACTGTTGAATTGTGGGCTTATCCTTCCACCTGTGTGTATTGCTTGTCTCCCTCGTTCCTGGATCCCATTTGATAAGATCAGAAGGGGAGGGCCTTATCTTATCTCTTCTGATAAGAGCTGAGATAAGAAATTTAAAACCTGGACCCTTGTCGCTCTTTCTTCTCTTCCACTCATCATCACCACCAATCGCATTTTTTGCGGTTCTCTTCCCCCACAATCCCCCTTGTTGGTACACCATACCTGCCTATCTAATCGTCGCCATGTCCATCAGCCTTCCCGGCATCCAGGGCCGCACCCGCAGTCCTCAATGCGATGAATTCTTTTCAAGCCTTTTTGAGTTCCAAGGAGAGGAACATATCTTCATACTTCAGGTAAGATATATGATTGAGATTCAAGGGCGTTTCTGTTGACTATGATCTAGCGTCAAGGCGAGCCTCGATCGGCGCCATGTCTCGAATGTGCTCGCACAATGAGCCACAGACGCACCTCGCTCGGTCCAGATGGCAATCATGTTTGTCGCTACTACTGTAAGAGTGCGCTGCCATACATTACTGTGATGGCTAATTTCTCTATAGATGGTAGCCGCCGCTGTGCATCCTGCGTTCTGAAGAATAAGGACTGCAATGAGGTAGGTATTGATGAATGTATTAACTAGGCTGTGCTAATCGGAACAGATCATGGATATCAGTCTGCGCCGCGCCGCTATTCGTCTTCAGCCCCTGTTTTTGGACTAGAGAGCCAACGCAGTTGCGCGAGGAACCTCGGACCGTGTAAGTATTGATACACTTGTGGGTATGAATGTATATTAACAGCGTACAGCCTCAAGCCCTTGTTAAGGCTCAATCCAATTTCAAAAAGCTCGATGCGACTAATCACACCATGTCAGACAACCCAGGTGGCATCGCGGAGCTCGAGCGGCGTATTGCTACGCTACAGGAAGAGCTTGAAGCAACCAAGGGACAACTGCAACACACTCAGGTTGAGCTTGGCCGACAGGTGGAACTCGCTGATTCGCAAATCAGCATGCATCTGGACTCATGAGATGGAGGAATGAAGAAGATCATGACTCGAGTGTCTATGAGAAGTAGCTAGAGCAATGGGAACATGACGATCAAGGCTAATAGTTGAGTTCCTACTGGACTGACTAGTACAACGATTGGTGGTTGGTGGGCGCCCTAGGGTATCCTCGACCTCTTTATTTCCCCTCCCTTGCTCCCCGTCTTTCTGAAGCCTCCGGGTACGTGACGCACCATGCGTAGCCAACCTCGACTTAATCTGCTCACCCAACCATTCTGACCCTCTTGACCACCAAAATGACTCTCACAACTCACCTATTAGCAAACATTCTCCAAGATCACGAGCACTGCTCCGTTTCACAGCATCCGCTGTTACCTCTGTCAAACCGCATAATAATTTCCCCCTCCTTGGTGGATACGTCGAGGTGGTAGAGGCCCAGGACCATCATCCGTCATTTGGCTGGGGTCGACGACCCTAGAGCTTGGAGTCAGAGTACGCCAAGTCGGCTCTGAAGCTTTAACTCACCTTTCCCAATGCTTCCTTTTGTCTTCACGACCTCTGTGGTTTCGATACATACTAGCCCGCATCTCTCTGTCCTCATTGACAATCGGCGTCCCTGGCCGAGACATGGACGTGTAAGAGGCCTCACCCAACTCTTCGGGTAGATGAGCTGGCCTAACTCTGGTGTCGAAAGCTGGTCGAATCGACGAAATTGTCGGCAGGGTCTGCCTTACATCTGAATAGATGTCGCTACTCAAGCTGCTGGAGCCCTTCTCTTCCCTGCCTTGGGGCATTGCCGTTAATGGCCATTGCTCATCTCTGACAGGACCACATCCATCAGAAACTGGTCCTGGGATGGGAGCCAATTCATAATCGTCGCTATGGACTGTTGCAACATTGGTATCAGGAGACTCGGGTCTCGGCTCATCCTCTCGATCATGGTCGCTGCTGTGACGAACCTTGTCTGAGCGGCCGCGGCTCCGACGAGATTCTTGGCTCTTGCGAGATACGTGACTATGCTCAGCACGCTGGGACGTAGATAAGCTGCGTCTTGTGTTTTCGCGACCAACTGCTGAGGCAGACCGGGATCTAACAGGAGTTCCCGGAGTCGAGCTTGCTATCGTTGAGGCTCTTCCCACGGGGAGCCCGAAAGCTCGACAGAGCCTCTGACGCCAAGTTGGTTGTCGAGGAGGCAACCCTTCTGATTGAGATGGGGAAGGCGAAGGGTATGAAGACTCAGATGGCGGGCGGCGTTGGGTAGGTCGCCCCCGGGGATTGCGCCGTGGATTTCCTCGTGGACTCCCTTGCTGAATATGAGGAACAGCAACGTAGGTTTGGCGAGGTGGAATTTGTGGTGTTGGATAGATGATTGAAACAGGTTGTAGAGGAGACGTCCCTGGAGGCACTTGAGCTCGTGGAGGCAAGAATGGGGTGCTACCCAGACTATAAAACACCGGCTGGTAGACAACCTGCTGAGACTGGCTTGGATATTGCGGAACGGCGGGTAGTTGTGACATCGAGATGCTCGCAAGACGTGCTCTGCGTCGACGACGACGGCGACGGGCAAGTACGATTTCTTGATGGGCTGAAGTAATCCTGCCAAGGTAGTACATGTAAGCAAGGATGAGAACAATCGAGGTGATGACTATGCTGAAAATGATTCCGCACTGCTCGGCCTCTGTCAAGCATTTCCATCCTGAGCATTCGTTATCGCGGGGACCGAGGGAAGATACATGCTGTGAGGCCGTGACCCATGCCCCGCCGGTTGGAGGCATTGTTGCTGCAAATACAGCCTGTTGAGGTAGTTATGGTCGCGATAGGAAAGTGAAGCTGAGAATGTGAAAGCCTTCAACGAACTGTTAGGACATTACGGGTGTGAGGGGAAGCTGTCTTTTGTCGATGTGCGCGAGATGTTGGAAAGGAGGAAGAAATGAAAAAAAAGACGAACGGGGTCGAGAAGAGAGAAGGAAGAAGCTTGAAGCTCTTCATGAAAGCTGCCACTGGCGAACGGTGGTTGCCAGCTGATACCTACTGAGCTCGCTTTGGGGGCATAAACCGTCTGGTACCGACTGTTGCAAGGGAATTGAGACATAAAAGTGCGCCAAAATAGAATCAGAGTACTAAATAATCTATGCTGAGGCGTACTAAGAATACCTTCCGACCCTTCTTGTGATAGCAATCCATTTCAAGCTGCTGTAGTCCTCCACAGCCCGCTGACCACCAACCAAGCTCGGTCAAGGGGGAGGTTTTCGTGGAAGATATATGACCTTAAGAACGTTTAAAAAAAACTAAACTCCTTCTGAGGTTTAGAAAACAAGTTCTTGGGATATTCTACACTGAAGGACGCAAGAACTCCAGATGTTGTGGTTATTCGCAGTTGGAGCAATGAGAGTTGTGCCAAGTATACTTTTCTATATACCTTCGCCAACGTGTCTGTAATCAGTGGCTCTGGAGAAAAAAAATCAAGAAAAAGATCACTGAAAACGGAATTAACAACATATATCAAGATTTTGGCACGATTTGCTACTGTAAAGGTTTGTCCATGTAGAAATGGATGTACGGTTGAAGTTGAAACTAGAGGCAGCGGCGTTGGACAGGGGCTCTTGCCCAGCTGAGTGCCACTGTCCGCTAATGACCAATCAGCGATCCGCCTTCCGCCCCGCAAGTACGTACCGCCACGGAGGTGCAACTCAAGGTTCTCAGTTTCTCTCTCGCTTCAGTTGCGATGCAACAAAACTAACACGACAAACGCCTTGCGCGACCATCATCTTTCCGCCTTCTCGTCGCCGGCGCAGCCTCAAGCCACGCAAATACTCCCTCGACTCCTGCGATTGATTATGCACTCTGATTTCTGAACCGTCCGATGCGCTGATCGTCCCTGAATTCGAGGCGCATTGCTAGCTGCTCCGAGCGACGCGTTCCTCCACCGAAAGCTTTCGCTTCACAACGAACACAGCACCTTTTCATCCTTACACTCCTTCGATAATCATGGCCACGCAACAGAATGGCACCGCGAATGGTGTCAACGGCGACGCCCCTGCTGGCCCAGTCAGCACCCGATTCACAGACATCCCTTCCGCCATCGACATCCCCGTGCAAGGCGACCAAGAGGACGAAGCCGTCGAGATCGATCTCGAGGACCTGGTCGATGATCCCACCGAACTCTGTACCCTTTTCGAAAACGAACGCGCCGCCAAGACATACTGGATGACGGTCGCTCTGGCATATGCCAAACAACACAAGATCGACCATGCCATCGAGATGCTCCTCCGAGGCGGAAGCGCCATCCAGAGCAACAGCACAAACCCGCGTGATAAGGTTAGCATGATCTGCTGTCTGTGCTGGATGTATCTGTGGAAGAGTCGAGAGGCGCCTCGAGTTGCACCCGACGGCACTCGAGTATCCGAAGCCAAGACCAAGGAGTACTACCTCCAGCTCGCGACATCTTCCCTGAACGACGCCGCCCGACTGAACCCATCATTCCCACCCATTTTCCTCGCTAGAGGTGTTCTATTGCTCCTGAGAGCGTCGCTGCAAGCCCCGTCTAAGACCGCTGGTGGTATTGGTTCAGAGAAGCATGAGCTCTTGAAGACTGCCGTCAAGTCTTTTGACGATGCTCTCAGGGTCTCGCAGGGAAAGAATATGCTGGCTTTGATGGGAAAAGCGCGGGCTCTGTTTTCTATGCACAAGTACCCCGACTCGCTTGCGATTTACCAAGATGTTTTGCACAAGATGCCAGATTTGGTTGACCCGGATCCCCGAATTGGCATTGGCTGTTGCTTCTGGCAGCTTGGCTTCAAGGATGACGCGAAGATGGCATGGGAGCGATGCCTGGAGATCAACCCTAATTCTAAGGTGGCCAACATCCTCCTCGGATTGTACTATCTTGACGCCAGCGGCCATGTTCCCGTTAACAGCGACGAATTCCTCAAGCTCTACAAGAAGGCCATGACCGAGTACACGCAAAAGTCCTTCAAGCTCGACAAGGACCTTCCTCTGACCTGCTCTACCTTTGCGAACTACTTCCTTTCGAGAAAGGCATGGGACAATGCCGACAAGCTCGCACACAAGGCCATCCAGTACACGGACGTCAACGCCATTGCTAGTGATGGCTGGTATCTTCTGGCCAGAAAGGAGCATTATAGCGGCAACACCGAGCGTGCCACCGATTACTACCGTCGTGCGGATGATGCGCGAGGAGGGACAGAGACCGGTTACCTTCCCGCCAAGTTTGGAGTCGCGCAGCTGTCAGTCTTGAAGAATGACCTTGGAGAAGCCAAGCTCCGTCTGGAGAAGATGATTCAGCAGTCAAAGAACCATGAGGCCATGATTCTTCTGGGTACTCTGTATGCCGAGGAAGTTTTCGCCAACCAGGTTAGCGACAGCAAGGAAGATAAATCTGCCGAGCTCAAGAAGGCCATCACTCTTCTTGAAGGTGCCCGAAATGCATGGAAGGACCCAAAGAAGACACTGGCGCCAGATGCATCAGTCCTACTGAATCTAGCACGCCTGTACGAGACAGATCACCCTGACAAGGCTCTGCAGTGCTTGCAACAGGTGGAGCAACTTGAGCTGGACCAGGTTCCTCCTTCAGAACGCCCAGAAGATGTAACAGACGAGGCCGAGATCAAGGCTGCTCTTCGCAAGTCTCTGCCTCCTCAACTGCTCAACAACATTGGCTGCTTCCACTCGCAAGCTGAGAAACACGAGCTTGCCAGTGATATGTTTGAGGCTGCTTTGAGCGCTTGCATCAAGATTGGCGAGAAGGATCCTGACATGGATACGGATGCTCTTGTGTCCACTATCAGCTTCAACCTCGCCAGAAGCTACGAGTCACGAGGACTTACGGACAAGGCTGTCGAGGTTTATGAAGGACTTTTGGCTCGCCACGACGACTACACAGATGCTCGCGCACGACTGGCCTACATCAAGCTCAGGAAGAACCCCAATAAAGAAGGCCCTGATGCTGTTGCCAAGTTGTACCAGGAGAACAACACCGACCTCGAGGTTCGTGCCCTCTATGGCTGGTATCTTGGCAGAGTGCACTCAAGGAAACGCCCTTCCAACATCGGCGAGGACCCGGAATTCCGCCATTACAAGCACACTCTTCAAAACTACGACAAGCATGATCGACATGCTCTGGTGGGAATGGGCAACCTGTATCTGATCCAAGCCCGAGAGATGCGCCGCGAGTCTGAATCAGACAAGCAAAAGAGGAGTGCAACGTATGGCAAGGCTGTCGAGTTCTTTGAGAAGGCTCTGTCGCTGGACCCAAAGAACGCATATGCTGCACAGGGTATCGCCATTGCCCTCGTGGAGGACAAGAAGGACTACAAGTCCGCACTCGGCATCTTTAACAAGGTTCGGGAAACCCTTAGGGATTCGCATCTATATGTCAACTTGGGCCACATCTATGCCGAGCTGAGGCAGTACTCCAAGGCTATCGAGCACTACGAGATCGCCCTCTCGCGAGATGGCAAAGCTAATGACCCTGTGATCCTTGCTTGCCTGGGACGAACTTGGTTGAACCGTGGCCGATCGGAGCGCGACGTCGATGCATACAACAAGGCGCTCGAATGCGCCCAGAAGGTACGTTTTTACTCGCCAATGCCAATCGTTGTCATACTGATCTTGGGATACAGGCCCTTGAAGTTGCCCCTGAGCAGGTTCACTACAAGTTCAATGTTGCTTTTGTGCAGATTCAACTCGTCACGATGATCCAAAATCTGCCAGAGAACAAGCGCTCAGCAGAGCAGCTTGAGAAGGCCGCCGAAGGGCTTGAGGCTGCCATCACATCACTGGATGAGATTGCTACTCACCCTCAGACTCCTTATCCCAAGCACGATGTCGAACAGCGTGCCAACATGGCCCGCAACACATTGCGTAAGCAACTGGAGCGAGCCATCGGGAAGCAAAAGGAGTGGGAGGAGAAGAACAAGGAGAAGATCCAAGCAGCCAAGGCTCAACGAGAATTGGAGCTTAAGCGCCGTGAAGAAGAACGCCAGAAGGTGCTCGAAGAGGAGAAAGAGCGACAAGACAAGATCAAGAAGGAGCGTGAAGCCATCGCTGCACGAGACAGACTGCAGGCCGAGAAGCGAGCCGAAGAGGAGCGTGCTCGCATGGAGGCTGAGATGACGACGGACAGCGAAACGGGAGAAAAGATCAAGCGGAAGCGCAAGACTGCACCCCGAGCTTCCGGCGAGAGCAGGCCGAAGCGATCAGGAGGAAAGAAGAAGAAGAAGGCAGACCGTCAAGATGACGAGTCAGAGGAGGAGGAGGAGACTCAGCCCAAAAAGCGCCTCCGTCTTGGGAAGAAGGAGTCTCAGAAGTATAAGAGCCAGGAGTTGGTGTATAACAGCGATGATTCAGACGACGACGACGCGCTCGAACGTGCTGAAAGAAATATGGAAAGAGAGGAGACACCTCTATCAGAGGCAGACGAAAGGGCCGTCGACGACGATAAGATGGACGTTGACGAGGAGGCCAACCAGGGGGCCGGCGATGAGGACGATGACGAGGAACTCGCTCCGCGCCAACAGCACAAGCGAGCCCGTCGTGGACGTGTCGTCGAGAGTGATGACGAGGAGGAAGAGGAGGTCCCTGCTCCAGCCAAGAGCGCGTCTGGTGATGAGGATGAAGAGCCTCGTCGCGCGGACACGAGCATGGCAGATGCGGACGATGACGAAGAATAGGGGGCAAGAGAAGTTGGATGCTCAGAATGTGACCTTTACCTACCAAGCCCTAACACAAAAATTTGGGAGTTTTACAGTGCAGTGCAGTTTGGGGCTATGCTATTTGTACTATATCATAATGCTAGACGAGTTGGGGCTGGGGACAATGGGAAGCGTGCTTGCAATTGTTGATGTGATGTTTTATCTTGTCTTGTCTTGCCTGGGGAGGTCGTCTTGAAACAGACTCCTTCAACGCCAATCAAGTCTTGGTATATAACTAATGTGAATCTACATTTCGTTTCCTTGCGTCAACATATTCCTCATCATTTTGCTATGACATGACATTGCTCCAGCCTATCTAGGCTTGCTTGTCAGAGGTACATGCATCCCGTCCACCCCCTCTCTCTTGTTTCTAAGCGTGAGATTACCGATAGACGGCTATCCCTCTACGGGTTAATGCTGATGGGAACCCTGGGCGGATTGTCAAGCTTGGGTTGGTAGATCAGATCGATGCGCTTAAAAGGCGAAGATCTGGTCCTCGAGCTTGCTGACGGGGCGGGCCTTCTTGAAGCCAAGGCTCTCTGCGGCCTTTTTGAGACCGCTAATCATGGGAGGAGGTCCACAGAGGAGGATCTTGACATCGTCGGCGGGCTTGGGGAGCCATTTCTGCAGGATTGATTGTCAGCGAGTCAGGTCTTTGAGACTAGAGATTGGGGTACCCACGGTGATCATGTCGGCGGTGACATAGCCGACGCCACCAGTCCAGCCCTCCGGAGGCTTGTCCAGGACGTAGTGAATGCGGATACCAGCGTCCTTGGCGGCAAGAGAGTCGAGGTCCTCCTTGAGGAGGATGTCCTGGGGAGAGACGTTGGCAAAGATGAGATCGACCTCGGTCTTGTCTCCGGCAGCGCGGCCTCGGATGATAGCCCGGATGACCTGGAGCATAGGGGTGATTCCAGTACCACCGGCGACCATGCCGAAGTGACGGACCATGTTGGGAGTGTAGACGAAGGCGCCCTTGGGGCCGCGAACGCGGATGGTCTGGCCGACGACGAGCGAGGCCATGTGCTTGGAGATGTTGCCCTGGGGGTATGACTTGATCAAAAGGTCGAAGTAGCCGGGCTGGTGGTCACCAGAGACGGGGGTGTAAGAGCGGACAATCTCCTTGGTAGAGCCATCGGGCTGGACACAGGGGGCGCCGATGGAGATGTGCTGGCCGATGGGGAGGCCGAGGATGTGTTTGGGGCTGGGGAGCTTGAAGCGGTAGCTATCGTCGAGCTGTCAGCGCGCGGGCGCATTTCGTAGCGCGAGGCAATTGGGTCGTCAATTGTTGCGTCGGCGGTCAAAAACTTACATGGCGACATTGTGCGAGATGATGGTCTTCTCCTCGAGTTCGAACTCTTGGAAGACATCAGGCTTGAGGACCTTCTTCACCTCTGCGATTGGTTAGCTGACGACATCGACAAGCTTCACCACCAAGAGCGGGGGAAAGGTGAGAAAAAGTTTTGGGGACAGGGAAGAAGCTCACGGAAGGCGAGGAAGTTGTAGGCGCCAAATGCGACGGCGATGAGGGCGGCAAAGGGCGTCCACTCCTTCTTGACGATGAGGGTTCCTACGATGAGGAGTACGCCGGGCATGTAGACATAGTCGATGTAGTGCCTCGCAAAGAGCGAGTTGTCGCCGGAAGACATGGCGGCGGCTTGCTTTGGTGCGCACGTAGCTACACCCAACACACACCGATTTTTTGCGATTCGATGCTCTCAAACTAAAATGGAGCAATTGAAACCTCGCGACGAGGTCTCGAGTAGGAGGAGGAGGGAGAGGGGGATTGCGGAAAAGAGGTCTCAACAAGGCGAAACCTGGGCTTTGAAGAGGGGAAGCTGTCCTCGATTTAAAAATGGTGGCCTTGCCTTTGCCTTGCCCACCCACCGTTTGGAAACCGAAGACCGGCGCCCGAGTGACCCCCGAATCGCCCCGGGTAGGTCTTCTGCTTCTGGAAGGCGGTGACGAAGGTGGGGACGGTGTTTGCGGGAGACGATGCCGTGTTGAGAGCGGATGGAAGGAATTCGCGCGGTACGGTTTTTTACCCCAGACTTGTGGGAAGGTGGGGTATTTTTTTTACTCTCTTGCGGAATCGGATCTCCTTTTGTTGCCGGTTTGAGCTTGGTTCCGAAGAAAGAGCTTGGAACCGAGGGCAAATAAGTCGGCAAGTGAGAGGGGATTTTGAATTGTTGAGCTTGGGGGCTATATAAGAGTAGAGTCGTTGCTTTTTGCATTCTCAAGACATGACCGGAGTGACTCGACCTGAGTTTGCCAAGGAGATAAATTACAAACTGACTGCTCAAGTTCTTCAACATGTTCAGAGCATCATCCTTGTTAACTGGGGCTCCTTTGGAATCTTTAATCTGATGGATCCCGTGACATGCAGAATGTAAGTTAGCAACTTGGGACATGACCATATTAGGAGATTCCTCCCGAGGGTCTTTATCAATCAAGATCCATAGCAGATCTACCAATTGTCATTGCCCAATATCCGTCGAATAAAAGTTGACCAAGATCCATCTGACCGGTCTCGAGTTCCTCCAGTGGCTTTCCAAGTGCCATCCTACGGGTCTACTTTAGTCAAGACGGAGCGGAATTCTTGTCCCTTCTTCTACCGACTTGCGGAAATTCGGTCTTGCAATGCCGAGCCATCACGTAGGCGCCTTTACACCTTGACTCGACAAATGCCATGAGCATGGGAGTTCCACTACATTTCCATTTCATGCAACCTCACTCATTGGGGATCTTAGGTATTGCGAGTGGCTCCAAAACCTAGCTTCAGCAACGTCGTCTCACCAAAGTCACTATGGCATAATATCTCAGCATCGCTTGTAACACTATTAACCTCAGCCACTTAGTCTCAGTAACATCGTCTCAGTTATACCAGAAGCCTCGAAACTAATTCAGGACGAATTGGAACTTGAAGCAGCATATTCAGAGATCCCTTCGTCCCCCTCACCAGACATGTTTTCCACTGACTCACTGACAATCCACCTCACATCACCCACAGTACCACGCTGACTCTTTCTGGTTTCACTGCAGAAAAAGGAAAACTCGTGACTGTCGAGCATCTCTCATATCACCTCACTACTGCAAAACGTGCGGGCAAGGTTGGTCAGCTTGATGGAGGGTATCGCAGCCGTGTCGAGTCTCCCGAAGCCTCACCACAGCTGTGGTGTCATGATCATATCAATGCGTCCATGATACAATTCCTGCAGGTAAATTCGATTTGGGTATGCGGTTCTTCTGGTTGATGTTGTCAGACCACAAGTCACATCATAGCAGTTCGCAGCCCAATCCACCTTGAAATCGATCATGAGTATTCGCCGAAACATCCGAGATGCATTCCTTGTCAACGCAAATGGTATAGATGCCGTCTGTTGGATTGATGCCTTAGTCTTGATGGTGTTGGTTATGACGTGGGTGCTGTTGCAACTTGGGGAACGGGATCACTCCAGGCGCTGTTTCAACAAGTGCTAAGTGAGAAAGCTCTTCATTTTTCATTGTCATTCAGGCTATGTCTGTCCCTCTTCCCTGGTGTTAAATACCATCCTGCAAAGCTCGTTGTTGATAACTTAACATTGCAATGCTGACAACACCAATGGCAGGCATGTGTGTGCTACCACAAGAACGCAACGGGGGAACTGACCTACGTATGCCAATGTTTGGTACACAAATCCGCGATGGGCCTTCGTATATAGCACTAAGAATATTGTCTTGCGGAATTCGCATGCCAACGACCATACTGATATTGAACATGAGGCCCCTGGTGCTCCTTGATCTTGTCCAACTTGAACAGCCCGACACAAGGACAGAAGTGATAACCATGACATTGGCCACATCACGCAAACTTGAGAACCGGAAGTAATCGGATATTTCTCTGAGTGTGCCCCATGATAGACATGTTCGACATCTTTCTGTGCAACAACCATTTTAGAGATCGTGGCTTGCAGCTTACGTTCTTTTTCCACAAGCCGTTCTGCCATGTCTTACACTTCTCGGCAGACTATGTATACTTGGCTCTTTATTGCTAATCTCATGTCACTTGGATCAGGATCATTACCAAGTTTCTTCGTGGAAGCTGAAATTGATGACCGCTTCTAATCAGGTTCATCAAGTAACCGAGAGACGCTCATAATACCGACAGCTACCAGAAACGAGACAATCCCTCTTGCACCATAGTCATCATGTAGTTCATTTCCGTTACCTTGGATCGCTGTTGTAACTTTCACGGGGAGCTGAGAGGATCTTTATATGTTGGTGGATGGCTGCTTATTGTTCATTGCTACTATAGGAGGAATATTCGACATAGGGGCAGAGAATTGCACAAGTTGTGCCAAGAAGTTGATAGATAGTCCGCCTGACAAGCATCCATAGTATTCCTCGTATCGGAATAACTCTCGACCAGGTACAATTCGAAACTATCCGAAAAATCCGTCACGGAAAATGCGGCGACCTGTGGTCCTGATGGTCCTTCTCATTCCATCACCTTGAACCCAAAATGTCAAGTTTGATGAGACGCCAGCATCTACAAACCTTGTCAGGGGACTTGACTTTAAGATATTAGATGTTTGAAGAGCAAATTGTCCATCAGTCATCAACAATCGCCTGGTCAACACCCCGCAGGAGCTACAGTCTTATATCAAGGAGAATGGACGTTGATGGTGAGGCGAGTGAGCAGGTTAATAAGCGGAGCAATGTGCAGCAGGATCGCATCTCAAGTCTCCGAGTGGCTCCCGTCGTCTGTTCGTGTTCAGCTGCCCCCTGTCCAGAGGGTCACTGAGGGTCACTGAGGGGCCAGAGGCGCAGAGCCAAGGCAAACAATGGCCAGGAATCATCCATGGCGGATACGACCATGACCCCGGGACCCTTCCTTCTCACGGGCTCGCCGACTGCAGACTGCGCTGCGGCGGTTCTGCCAATTGTTTGTTGGCGGATATCACGGTTTCACCACCAGATGCCACGCCCACCCGTGCGGGCATGGGTCCTGTGTCCAGTCCGAATGATGGCACATTGTCAGGCGCGGATGGCGAGGTTTTTTTTAATGTCGAGTCGGTCAAGATCTTCAATGACGCAAAGAATTGTCCGAAGACGAGAGACGATGGAGGGAAATGGAAGGGGGGGTTCAGGTCTCGAAGCGCCCATGCCATCTAGAGGCTTGTCTCAAGGGGGATGCGCTATCACCGTAGACCATTTTAGCGGGTGACGGTATCTCAACGGCTGCCGAGCTTTGCGACTGACTTCTCGTACGGCAGATCGATCCATGGCCCGCGGGTGGAAAGCTCATGCACGAGATCCAGAAGGTCGAGGATGACAGAAGCAGAACGGGCAAGCCACAGCACGACACGAGATCAACAATACGATGTTTATACAGAAGGATCAGATCCAGTCTCCAGTCCCAGCAGGGGCCGGAGGGCACGGGGGCTCTGTATGCACATCTGCATCCATGCATACAGTACGTATGTATGTACACTGCGTACCGCGCATGCGGTGCGGGCATCTTTTCCACCGAGCGTGATCCACCGACTTACGAATACTCGCAGCTCCCCGTGCTGAATCTCGCGGCTACTGCAGCAGAAAAAAAATCATGGGCCTGGAACCTACCAATGTCGGGTTCCTTGGCGCCTGGAGCGTTGGGCTAAAGTGGAGGGGACCATGCTCCGAGCTTCAGCTGTCCTAGGTTCATCAGCAAGCGCAAGCAGCAGCAGCAGAGTCAGAACAACGTGGGCTCGTCGACGTGGGCGGCTGAAAAGGACAAAAGAAGTTCGATGGGGCAAGGGTACAGTAATTTTACCCCGCGCACCTGGTGATTGGCCGCGGGAGTCGACGAGTCGAGAGACCACTCCGAAAGCATGATGGGTTTCGGCATCATCACGGCCTTCTGTCACGAGCTGTCAGCGAGGTAGCATGCGAAACGGAAAAGGCGCTCTCCGGAGGAGGAGAAAGACCATCCCATCACATCCCATCCCATCCATCTGAGAGGGTCTCAGTCCAAGAAAACCTTGGACCACGCCATGTTGGTTGCTGGGGCCCCTGGCTATCGGCTCAAGAGAGGGTTGAGACCTCAGATCAGAGCAGAGCAGCTTACAGTGCTGCAACTAACCAGTAGCCTCCGAGCAACAAGGCCGCATCCTTGGGTTGGTTCATTCAATTGGCCTCTCCCAATGATCGAGATCTGACACACGTTAGTCCTCGTTTGTGCTGGCTGTCGACGCCGGGCCTTGCCAGGGTTTCCTGTTCTGGGCGGCTCGCTGGGCCAACTTGTTTTGGGGCCCGTCGGCCGCGTGGGGAGCCACTGGCCCGCTGCTCCTCAGGGCGTTAGTGCGGGCTCGTTAGCAGACGGGCTACTGCAATGCACAAAGCTTCCAGGGGTGGCCGGGGGGCCCATCTCCACTGTGACCCGGCGCAGCATTATGACGACGACACCTTCAGTCTGCCCGTGTGTGCTTGTTAGGTGCCTCACACCATCGACTTTTCTCTACTCTTGCATGTTCAGGCTCTTATTTCTTTCTCTTTACCCCATTTTCCTTGGATAAACCCTAGCACCTACACCCCTCGAGGCCGATCAACTCCAAGGCACAAATCACCACCGGTGGTGTTTGCTGTCTCCCCAACCCTCTCCTTCCATCCTCGTCTTTTCTCAGGCTCGGCCTGAATCCGTCTCTCGTTTCTCTCCCGTCGTCAGAAACCACCACAGCCTCCCTCCGTCGTTCCCCGGGGCCACCGGATACTCTATCTAGGCACCTCGTATCGTGAAGCCTCCCGCTGGCGTCTCGAAAGCTTCGTTGCCCGGGCCCCGTATCGCTCACTCATCTCAACTGCTTGCGTTG